CAAAGCCCTCTGGGACCCCTAGTCCGCGACCTGGGACTTATCTGGGGTTTCCCCTCTCATGTCTCACCCTAGCTCATGCCACTTTTCTGCTTTATTCACTCTGACTTGGGGAAGAAGGAAGATACTTTCCAACAAACAAAAAACACAAAAACTCTGAACTTCATGCGAATTGAGTATTAGACCTTCAGAAGGATTCAGTGCTGGGGATGCTCAGGCCTCCATGCGGGGCTCTCCATGTCTCCCGTGGACTCTTCTGCGGGGTACCTTGGGGAGCCGGGGCAGGAGGGCCTGGCAGGGCCCTGGCGAGACCCAGCGCGGGGGGAGGTGCCTTCGTAAACCACGCCCCTTCTCCTGGGAGAAGCCCAGGGCCCAGGGTGTCAGGAGCACCTTCATCCCCGGAACACGGCGCCCGGGATCCTCAGTCTGCTCTACGGCTGGGCTGAGACGGTGCTGTTCTCAGCCCACGGTGGTCCTCGTGGGGGTGCCAGGCATCAGAGGCGGCTGGCAAGCCTTCGTCAGCTCCTGACCCCCGCAGCGGGGATCGCCCTCTCGCTCCAGAAATCTCCACAGCTGCTGGCGATGATCAAGAGTTACGGATGATTGTTCTGAGCTATTCTTACAAATTTAACCCAACACAAGGTAAATTCTAAGTTGCTTTGAGAATTATCCTTCATCCACAACTAAGACAAAGTATTTTACACTATGTGACATTAGAGAACTTTTCTAGTGACTGGGATGTAGTAAGCCAAGATGTTTGCAAAAATAAAGGTGGGGGTGGGGTAGGCAGACAGAAGGTCCAGGCCACTTCTTTCCCTCAGCTCAGTAAGCTCTTCCCAAGCAGAAAGACTGAGCAGCCAGGGACCGCTAACACGCCGTGTGGACCAGGTCACCAGGTGCGGGCAGTGCCACGGTCTCAGCTGCCTTCCTGGGAGCCCAGCCTGAGCTGACACGGGCCACCCTGGAGCGAAGCGGAGACGGTGCTGCGCCGAGGCCCCTGGACCAGTGCTCCGCGCCCGACTCTGGGGTCTTAGCTGAGAACGGGAAGCAGGTCTACCCCCGGGTGGCAGTGGCTCTGAGGAAACTTGTGGCGGGATTACAGAAACAGGAAAGAAGTAGGAAGTGCTGTTTGGGACCTGGGAACACCACCACCTAAGGGAGCATCCTGCTCCTGTACAAGAGAAGGAGTTGGTCCGAACCCTAGGCCATGTGGGTCACCATTGTTTTTGACCCTCAGTAGCTTTTGTACTCATATCAAATATTAAAGTTGCCCCTTTCATATTTGGGCCGTTCAAAGAGCTCCTCTCACTCTGGGTTCCTGCTAACTATGCACAATCTCTCAGAGGATGGCATACAAACTATTTTTCTAACTGCACACAGGTGATTTGGGGTGGGGGAGGCTGGGATGTACCTAAATGTGGCCAATAGCTTAGCTTCTACCTTGAGTGATGAGAGGGAAACTATGCATTGAATTCTAATCCACCATTGGCTGGCTTGTGCCAGGAAAAACACATATCGAACATCCAAGGAGCAAAGCTGATCATTAGCTTAATTCGGGGGCTCCCTGTAGGGGGAGTCACCTTGTCTAGAACACACACCTGCAAGTAGACTGTGAGCTGACTTCTTGGCAATCAGATCTTACAAGCCCTTTAAAAGGTTCTGGGCAGCACAACTCCTAGGTCCATACGGTTGATGTACGTATAATTAAGTAGTAGAATTGTATGGTATATACCTATATGCCTGTATGTGGGATTTGCTAATATAACCATTTCAATAAAAACCTACTGAAAAGCCTTGGCTGGTGTGGCTCAGTGGATCAAGCACTGGCCTGTAAACCAAAGGGTCACCGGTTCGATTCCCAGTCAGAGCACATGCCTGGGTTGTGGCCCAGATGCCCTGCAGGGGGCATGTAAGAGGCAACAACACATTGATGTTTCTCTTCCTTTCTCCCTCCATTCCCGTATCTAAAAATAAATAAATAAAATCTTAAAAAAAAAGAAAGAAAGAAAGTGCCAGGGGTCTGTCTGTTTCTGGCATGTCTGGCTGTCTGGCCATGGCATGGTTTGGCCTCTGACCCCAACACCAGGGTGCACTGCTGGCTCTGCTCCCTCCGGGTGCACTGCTGGCTCAGGCTCAGGAGAGTGGAAGCCCCATCAGCAGCAGAAGTGATCTGATTCCCCAGGAGGTCACCGAGGCCAGAATGGCACCTTCTTAGCCCTGACGGGCTTGCTGGGAGGCACATGGTCATCACTGAACCAGCCACAGTGGTCACAGAGGTGGAATGTGCCAATGGCCAAGGCCAGCATGGGTTCGACTTCTGCCACCCAGGACTGCATTCAGCTTCACCCAAAAGACAGGGGCAGAGAGCTCTATGAGATTCCCACAGCAAAATCAAAATGCTGCAGAGGATGAAGTACACGCTGGGACAAAGCAGCAGATGTGCCACCTGGTGTTTGGACACCAGCTGCAGACAGAACGGCTGCACATGAGTACCACCTCTGCCACTTACCAGTATGAACTTGGCAGATCATGTCACCTGTCTGGATTTTGGGCTTATCGTCCCTCAAATAGGGATCATAAAATACCTACCTCCTAGAGTTAACGTGTGAGGGTGAGATTTAAAATAATGTAAGAAGCCTAGTATCCCAAATACATAACTTACTACTCAACAGTAATAAAAATTTAAAATAGGCAAAGAATGTGCATAGACATTTCTCCAAATGACCATCAAGCACAGGCAAGGATGCTACATATTATGTCATGAGGAAATTGAAACCCCAGACCCCATGAGGTGCCACTGCACCCCCACTGGGAGGGCTATGATGACAAAGGCCTTGCAGATACTCAGGAGACACAGAGAAACTGCAACCTCCACACGCCACTGGTGCCAGTGTGGGCTGCTCTGTCTCGAGGAGAGCTTGGCAGTTCCTCACAAAGGTGAACATGGCTTTACTGTACGACTGAACAGTTCCACTCCTAGGGGCCTAAGAGAACTGAAAACATGTCCACACAAAACTTGTACACATCCGTTTATAGCAGCACTATTTACAATAACCAAAAAGGGGAAACAACCCAAATGCCCACCAACTGATGAACAGATCAACAAAATGTGTCCCGCCCATACCCTGGACTAGCACTCGGCGGGGAAACGGAAGCGGGTACGGACGCCTGTCACGGCAGGGGCGAGCCCCGAGCGGGCCCACTGAAAGAAGCCAGACACGAAGGCCACGCATCAGGTCTAGAGTGGGCACATCGCAGGGATAGGAATAGGCCTCTGGTTGCCAGGAGCAGAGGGGGTGGGGAAGTGGCGGTCACTGCTAATGGGTAAGGGGTTTCTCTTTTGAAGTGATGAAAATATTCTGGATTAGGTAGTGGTGATAGTTGCACAATTTTGTGAATACGCTAATAGTCACTGAATTGTGTGCTTTAAAAGGGTGAATTTTATGGAATGTGAATTATATCTTAGAAAGGAAAGGAAAAAATGAAGTAGATTTAGCATATCCTAAGTGCTCAACAAAGGTTCTTTTCCTGCTTATAAAGAGCAGTTCTCGGAAGGCGGTCTCTGGGTCAGCAGCTTCAGCATCGTATGGGAATTTTTAGAAATACAACTATTCTAGCTGGGGCCCAGCAATCTCTGTTTTAACAAGCATTGCAGGTGATTCTGATGCAGCTCAAGTTAGACAACCATTGGAATGAAGAAACCAAATAACCCTCATCTCTTCCCAAGGTGTTAACAAGTACAGGGTCTGGCACAAATAACACCCCTTTTCTATTACAAAGTCTTTTATTACAAAATCGTAAGCATGTAATTCTGTAACAACAATATCACACTCAAGCACGCCATATGACATATTAGGTGAAATGTTCAAATTACAACTATAAATTATTACACTCATATTATTACCCTCAAGCCGGTCTTACTTCTGCGAGGCCCTGTGGTTCCAGATTCTTGAGTCACAAGGACATGTTAGCAGTTTAAACTTACAAGGTTTAAAGAAAACCGGCTTCTGCATCTTGAAAGTTGATTCAGTCTTACGCAACATTTCAGGAGACTTTTGATCATTCTGGCTGTAAACCATGAGACCACCTATTTATACAGACATCATATTGGATTCTTGAATGCCAGTGACAGAAATCAAATTCGAAACTAGATTAAGCCTCCCAGGGTGATTCTAAAGGTCCCCTTCCGCCTGCCCTCCTCCCAGACCAGGCAGGCTCAGTCCGGCAGTGCAATCCTGCATCCCAGTTGGCGCGGGATATTCTGCGTACATGTCTGTTATCTGGGCCGAATTACCAAGCCAGTATTCAGACTGTGAGTGGCTCGACGCCTACTGACCAGCCCTGGGAGAGCAGGGACCCGCATCCGAGCGCCGTGTGCCGCCCGCCCACGCCTGTGAAGAAATCTCCGCCAGGCCACAGGGCCACCCAGCCTTAGTGTCCTGCACTGATTTCTGAGGATCCTGCCAGCCTCAGGGCTTCCTGACAAGGTGTGCTTGGCTCCTGGAGGGCCTCCTAGTCTTAGCCCCGAGTGTCAAAATTCGAATAATTATTACAATCATATAACCCATTTACAGCCGCCCTTTGCAATGTTAACATGCCCTGGTCGCACTGCACAAATAGCCAAAAGTGTACCTCCAAACGCTATTTCTTTACATTGTTCCCCCAAACCCTGGACAGGTTTCCACAAAACGCCAGGGTTCCTGCTCCCTGCACAAGCAGTTCCTCTTGGTCTGTGGGCTCGGCCATTCTGAGCAGAGCCTGTCACCCCGCGGATGGACAGCCCCTCCAGGACGAAGCTCCAGGGTCCAGTGCAAAGCGCAGGGGGGAAGGGCGTACTCCGCGGGGCAGGCGGCCTTGGCGACGTGGCCTGCGTGGGCGGGGCCGGCGCGGGGCGGGGCGGGGCCGGCGCGGGGCGGGGCGGGGCCGAGAGCCAGCGTGGACCGGGCCTGGCGTTCTGCGGTCCGGCCGCCCGCCAGGGGGCACCGCCTGGTCGGCTCACCGCGCGCTCCGCCCTCCGGCTCGGCCCGTCGGCGGCGCTTCCGCCTGTCTGGCCGGGCCCGGTACGAGTGGCCCACGATGTGGCTGGGCCCGGAGGAGGTGCTGGTGGCCAACGCGCTGTGGGTGACAGAACGGGCTAACCCCTTCTTCGTGCTGCAGCGGCGCCGGGGCCACCGTAGGGGCGGCGGCCTCACGGGTGAGAGGCGCGCAGCGGCCGGGCGGGAAGGGCGCGCCAGGTGCCGGGGCCGGGAGACCCAACCGGACAGGCCTAGCCCCGGCTCGGCGTCGCGGACGCGCACGTCAGCGCGCGCGGCGGGGACGGGGACGGGGACGCGTGGCCGAGCCTGGCGGGGCCGGGAAGCGGGGGCCCGGGCTGGGACGCCAGGACAGAACCCTGGCTGCTCGGGGTCGGCACCGGGCGGGGCCGGAGGAGGGCCAGTGAGCCGTAGGAGAAAGCCGGTCCGGAGAGACTTGGGCCAGCCCGGGAAGGCTGGCATGGGCCTCTGCCGGCGCTTGGTGCTGGTGAGCTTCCCGGTGCCCACTCGATGTGTGTGCAGCTTCCAGGAGCGGGATTTCGCAGCTGAAAGTCAGAGAGACCCTCCAGGCTTCTTCCTCTGCCTTAGTTCTCCAAGGGCCTCTCGGGGAACCAAGAGACACAGCTCACCTTTCCTTTTGCCTCCTTCATTCCCACCTCACCCAAGAATTGCCCTTTTAGCAAGATCAGAGGTCCCCGAGCTGCGGGCTGGCCTCTGCCCCCGTCCCTCCCGCTTCTCCGGCACACCTCCGTATTCCCGGTGCCCTTGGAGCTGCAGACCAAGCTTTTGCCAAATGAGTGGAATGCAGTGTCCTGGTGAGCTAGCTGGGATGCCCCTGTGCCCACGTGGACATCACCGCTCACCCAGGACGAGGCTGGACAGGCACTTCCTGGAGTTGTAGAGCCTGTAAGATCCAAGGCATATCCACTCGGCCTCACCTTGGCAGGTGTCAGAGGCCCCTCGTGCTCCAAGGCCTGAGCAGGCACTGCCAGAGCAGAGCTGGGTCAAGCTCAGGGCCAGACCTTGCCCGTGCTCCTGGGGTGACCTGCTGTCACCATACAGGACTGTGGACCCAATGTTGCCAGATCTTCCCATTTATCAAGAGAATTTTCTGTGAAGTGTCCTGATTTTAAACATTGCAGCTAATACAGTCCTGCCAGATGCAGAGGCTTCTGGCGGGAGACCTCTGCTGCTAGCCTCACCGGGGCCACAGCAGACACGGCAGAGACTGTACGGTTCCCAAGAAAACTATGTTCCCTTCAGTGCCTGGGACTCTCTCCCAGCAGCGTGGAGAATCAGGGAAGGCAGTGCTGGGCCTGCCTCCTGACCAGAATACTGCTCAGTGGAGGTGAAACAGCAATGGAGAGGCTGGCCAGCGGTCCGCCCTGGCTCTGCCGCCAGCCCGTGTAGGAAGCTGAGGGGCCTTTTACTGCACCGGCGTGTCAGGTAGCGCCCTGCTGGGAGCGCTCGTTCTGTGTCGTTTCTGCACATTGTCTCAGTGACGGGCTGGGTCCCTCTGTGCCCCTCCTCCTCGCCCAGAGAAGGCCCCGTCCACCTCACTCATCCCTTCACGTCCCCCCAGGAAACCATTTCCGCCCCCACCCTAGCGGGGTTTTGTGAGTCCTGCCACGGCCTTCCCTGTGCCATCAGAGGTCATGGTCTCCTGAACGGGCCTCCCCGGGAGAGGGACAGTCAGTGATGTGGTTGTATTCCAGCTCCTGTTTATAAACAGCTGCCACACTGTGCTCCTCATTGAAGGGTCTGAGTATGAGAGCCCTGACCAGCGTCGCTCAATCGGCGGAGCATCACCCCACAGAGCAAAAGGTCACTGGTTCGATTCCCGGTCAGGGCACTTGCTCAGGTTGTGGGCCCAGTTCCCGACTGGGGCGTGTGAGAGGCAACTGATCAATGTTTTCCTCACACATCAATGTTTTCTTCCTTCTCTTTCTCCTTCCCTTCCCCCCTGTAAAAAATAAATAGAACTTTTATTTTAAAGGGTCTGAGTGTGAGATGGTCCACCCATTATAAAACTTCCCAGGCTTCGCCAACAGTATAAGGATGAAAATAACATTTCCAAGACCTGAAGAAAAATGCCAACAAAAATCTTGAAAAAAAGTTTATTTCAAAAACTGGTAAAGCTTGAAAATGCTACAAGGCATTTTAGAACATTTCAATAAAACAAGTGAGAAATTACAGACTCTTAATTTAGATATATGTTAAGAGTACCTTCTTTTGTAATTGGTAATTTTACTTATTAAAAACTGGAAGGGAAAATGATTCAAATATATTGATAATATGAAACAAAAGTATTGAAGTTGAGTAATAAAATTAAGAGAAATGATTCTGACATCAACAAGGAAATGGTAGCAAAGTACTTTATACCAAAAGCAGCACTTTGTTAAAAGGGAAAAGTAAATTTTAAGTAGGAACAATTAACAGGTTTTTAGATAGCTTGATAATTCAATTAATGAAGAGGAATGAATCAAGGCAGACCGTTCCTCTGATTTTTTGGGGAAATAGTGACATTGACAAAGAGTATACTTGATGAGAAGGAAAACTTGAAATGCCCTAAAATGCTTCAGTTCAGGGATGAAAAAAAACTGGATCAAGTTTTCCCAAACTGGATACTTCTAAAAATGGGCACGTCCTTTCCAGTTACAACCTTTGAGGCTGTAAAGAACTTCCTTAAACTTTCCATAATAAAAATAATCATGTGGCAGAGTAAAGACTATGTTATCTTTCTGTTGTGGGGATGGAAAACGATGTCAGAAAGTCGCGGTCTTATACAAACAGCCATCAGAGTGCACCAGAAATGGAGCGGGCGGGGGTGGGGGCGGGGAGTGGATCTAAGAGATGCCTGGCAGTTAATAAAACACATTGTACAGTTTTCCTGAGTTTTGTGATATTTGTGGTATTGCTGTTTCTGGCTGATTTTGTTGTCGCTTTTGTACTTTTTTATTCTAAAGTAGTATTTGTTTCAAACTTGATTTTGTAGTTTTCTTCAAGAGGGCCTCCCAGATTATTTAAGCTTTGGGCTTAGCAAAACCTGCTGCCTCCCACCAACCGAAGCTCCTTGGCCCCACGGCTCAAAGCCGTGTGGTTTTATTTGACAGGGCAGCAGGGTCTGTGTACAATAAATAATAGGAACACTGCGGGGGAGCTGATTGTGCCCCTGCCTGCGTGTGTTTCTGCGTCAGGTAAGCAGCAGCTTCCAGGAAGAAGCAGGAAGGCGATTTTGGTAGGGATCAGACAGGAGGAAAAAGAAGTCGTTTGGTAGAAGAGGCGACATGCTGCAGGGTGCTTCTTTCCCTGGACCCCATCCTGGCCACCAGGCTCGGCTCTCTGTGACGCCCGCGCTCACTCTCTGCCTCTCTCCCCACTCCCAGGTCTCCTCGTGGGCACCCTAGACGTGGTCCTGGACTCCAGTGCCCGCGTGGCCCCTTACCGAATCCTGCACCAGACCCAGGACTCCCAGGTCTACTGGACGGTGGCATGTGGTAGGTGACTTGGATCACAGGGGTGCTAAGCAGGGCCTGCCCTGGGAGGGGAAGGGAGGGGATGCAGCCTGGCTCCTAGGCCAGGTGTGCCCCCTGGAACCCAGCATTGCCCCTCACTCAGACAGCGCGGCCCAGGCCAGCGTCCCCCTTAGGAAGGCCACCCTGCCTGTCACGGGCCTGGCAGTGCTCTGAGTCATTTGTGGCATTTGCGGGAATGCACATGCAGAGCAGCGAAAAATTCGAGTCACCAGACGCAGGTTCCCAGCTGAAGTGGAACAGGCATCCCACCTTCTTGTGTCAGCTCTCAGGCCGTAAACAAGTGTTCTTTTCGTGGTCTAAGTACTATGTTTTCAGTGTTTTTCATGGTAATTTGCTGTTTAAAATGGCCCCACATGTAGTGCTGAAGTGCTGTGTGCCGCTCCCAAGGCGAGAAGCTGTGGGCTGCCCTTGAGGGGCGCGCCCTTCTGGCCGGAAGTCCGACGCCAGGGAATTAACAAAGGTGCCTTTGAACAAAAAGACCCATAAAACAAAGTAGCGTTGATCAGTTGTTGAAAATGGGACCCGCTGGGAGAAGTCTGGGCAAATGGGGCGCTCTAGGAGACTGCAGAACACAGCTACGGTACATAACGCGGGCCGGCTGCCGCTGCCCCCCAGAGCGGCGCGACCCCCCCCCCGTGCGGCCCCCCCCCCGCCCCCGCCCCGGTGTTTAACGCACACAGTCCCTGAGCATTTAGTCAGGGCTCCGACCTCTTTTCTTCCCCTACGTGATCAAATAAGAAAATGACAACAGCCGGCACAGCAGTAGCTGTCTGGTGTGAATGAATCAAAATTATGACGTACTTTTTGTCAGATCAGCAAAAAATGTATTTTTTGGTGTGCTACACATTGTAACAATTAGTTTATGTGTGCCTTGAGATGCAAAGGGTTGCAGACCGCTGCCTTAGAAGGACACCAGCCACCTTCCCGAGAATCTGGGGAAAGCCCCCTTGTAGGGCGTCTGGCTGAGGTGCTCGGATAAACTGCAGTGATAGCCGGCGCTCAGACAGGGCCGCCACAGGCAGGTGCCTGTGTGGGCCTCCCAGCAGCTCCAGAAGGCGGGACTTTGGTTTTCCCTATTTTGAAGATGAGGAAACTGGCCCAGAGAGGTTGAGTAACTTGCCCAAGGTCACACAGACTGCAGTTCAGACCAAGACCACCCGCTCATGTTCCTGTGCTGAAAACATACCTCTATGTTCTAGAAGCCGCAGTGTCATGGTCCCCTAGGATAATGGTTTTCCTCAGAGGCCAGAGAAAAGATAACAAGAGCTGTGCTCACGGCTGGACCCCAGCTTCAGGAGAGGAAGGGTCAGGCCTGGAGGCTACGGTGGGCAGCAGCACAGTCCTTCCCACAGGCCTGCCTGGGGGCCAGGCTCAGCAGTGGCGTCGCCCTCCTCCCAGACACCGAGACAGAGCTGTCCTTCCCCTTCGTGCCAATGACCAGGGGAGGCTTAAAAAGCTGAGCTGGCCCAGAGCCAAACTGGATGGCCGGTTGGAGCCCTGCTCTCCTGGTTCCAGGGCCTGAGCGGTGTGCTCAGGGACTGGTTTGCCCACAGGAGAGAGGCCCTTCCTGTGGGGTAGGGACTGTCCGTGAGCCAGGCAGGGGACATTGGTGTGTGCCTGGGCTACAAGGAGATACTGCCGTCTCAGTGGACCCTCAAGATTTTGGGGTCCAAGACCTCTGTCTCGGTGGTGGTCTTGCTCGGGGAGCAGATGGGGAGGGTCAGTTGCAATGAGAGTGGCCTCTCCTTGAGGAGAGGGGTGTAGCCGTGCTGAGCGGGGGCCCCTTCGGTGGCCGTGGGGCTGGTGCTGTGGAACTCAGGCCACGCACACTGAGCTGCTCCCACTCCGCCGGCCCCCGGCCCCTGCCTGAGCCTCCGCCCTCAAGCCCACGTCCACGCCCTGGAGCTCTCCCGGAGCAGCCCCAGTCCTGCTGGCGCCCGCAGTGAGTGCCAGCTGCTCAGCCTGCCACCGAAGGGCTTCCAGGTCGTCCGCCTCCGCTTCTGCCTCTTCCCTTCAGCTCACACCTGGCCGTCAGCCAGGCCGGACGCTCCCAGGGCCCAAAGTTCCCAGCCTCACCTGTCCTGGACGGTGTGGGAACAGCACCCCCCCATATCCACCAAGGCCCCCCCACTCTGATGTCACCCCCTGTGGGAAACCTTCCCGGAGTCCCCAGGCCCGTGCTCCCAGCCTGCCTCCTCGCTCTTGGGAACTTGCCGTGTCTGTGCCTACACATCCACGCTGCGTGCCTGTGGGCGCTCCTGCCTGACCAGCAGTTCCTGGCAGGCGAGGGGAGGCTCCGTGGCTGGGCAGCCGGGTCAGGGTCACGGTCCGGTCATCCATCTGTGACCTTGGACAACTTACTTAACCTCTCTGTGCCTCAGCTTTCTCCTATAAAATAAAAACAGTGGTACCTGCCTCCAAGATGCTCTAAGAATTACATAGGTAATCCCCAAAAAGTTCTGAAAACATAAGTAACACTAACTCGTTAGCTTTTATATCCTTTTTACTCCCAGTGGAACGCATAGGGGCAGCGTAGTTTGTGTTTACTTTTACTCAACGACCATTGAGTTACTTCTAACTAAGAGTTTTTTTAAGTACACATATGTAGATATTTAAAGTCTAGGCAGATCCACACACACAGTGTAGACAAGATGTCCTCAGTTTTAGGCTGCCAGGAATGTGTGTAACAGAATGATACCGTAGAGTTACATCCTGTGCAGATTTAACTTCCAAATTCAAGTGTAGGTCTAGGCAAGAAGACAGAGGGAGGAGGCCCTTCCCCTTGGGCTTCATGCTCCGGGAAAGGAGGCCATAATAGAAATGCAAAGAAAAATGGAGAAAAAGAGTAGTAGTTTTTGGATGATCCAGGGTAACCTTGCTCGCCTGTTGTGACTCACTGTGAGCCAAGTCCAGGTTTAATTGTTTTCACACGGGCATCTTCACAGCAGCCCATGAAGAGGGTCCTTCCTTGGAATTGCTTGTTAGGAGCTGAGCTGCTGGAGTAAATGTGGAGGAACAAACAGATCAACCCCAACCAAGGCAGCTGGGCTGTGACATGTGACAGCAGTGAGCAGGTGCCTGGGCAGGGACATGGTAGGGACCAGTTTGGCCAGGGTGGGGCGGGATCGAAGCTGGGCTTTCAGCTGGTGGAAGAGTGTCCCTAGGTAGGGAGGGATGGGGTGACTGGGCTCAGGTGCCCAGCAACACGGCCGGTGCACAGCCATGCTGGACTCGTGGCTTTGCCCAGGCTCCTTCTTGGCACGTGTGTGGACTTTCCTGTGGTCACGAGGCTGACTGGGCCATGTGGCACTTGTGGTCCATGGGTTGCCCCGTTCCAGGACAGCTGAGAGGATGCAGCGCCTTCACTCCTCTCCCGTGTTCATTCGCTCAGAAAAGAGCCCTCGAGGGCGCACTCCCCAACCGGCACAGGCCAGGGGCAGGGGCGGCCGGCCAGGCGTACGCTGCCGCACCCTTCGCCCCGCGCTCTGCCTGCCCTTTGGGGATGGTACTAGGTGCCTTCTCTCGGCGCTTCCGCTGGCACTGGGCCTGCTGGGCCCTCCAGGGCCCCTCCCCAGGAGGGCAGGGGCCACCTCCTAGGTACGGCAGACGCCTTGGCCGGCCAGGAGCTGAAGGCCTCACTCGGGTTCCGGAGGGGCCAGAGCGGGGCTGGGGTGTGAGCTGCAAGAGTACAGCGGAGCCCTGCAGACCGAGGCCTGCGTGGGTGCATGGGGCATGCCCCACCCGCAGGAGACCCGCCGCCGAGAGCGGAGTCCTGCAGGAGGCCCCCGAGTTCCCGGGGAGGGGGGCGGAGTCCTGCAGGAGGCCCCCGAGTTCCCAGGGGGGCGGAGTCCTGCAGGAGGCCCCCGAGTTCCCGGGGGGGCGGAGTCCTGCAGGAGGCCCCCGAGTTCCCGGGGAGGGGGGCGGAGTCCTGCAGGAGGCCCCCGAGTTGGGCGGGGGGGCCGAGTCCTGCAGGAGGCTCCTGAGTTGGGGGCGGGGGCTGCCGGCACTCACTCCAAGACTGACGGGTCTGCTTCAAAGGCACCTCCATATCAAAGGCCACGTGCCGCCCTTTTATCTCAAAGAACAATCCTCATAAGTAAGCGAACGTGTAGATGTAGAGACCTTTCTGGGAGGACACATATAGGAGACTTCTGGTCGTTCTCACTGGCATTAGGGGAAATGGAGCCTTCATTTTCCACATGACTCTCTGCAATTCTGCCTGAATTTTTATTATTTTTCATTTTTACCAGGACTTCTTATGACTTTTGTTATATACATATACTTCAAGCTTAAGGAGGAAAAGAATAAACTGCTTAAAGATTGTAGTCACTTAGATACTGCAGCGAGGCTGTCTCTTTTCTCTGAGTTCACATTTAGGGCCTGGTGATTGTGTGATCCCTCTTCTTTACTCCCCATACCTTCCCTAGGTTCCGACCACAAAGAGATAACAGAACACTGGGAATGGCTGGAAAATAACTTGCTCCAGACGCTGTCCATCTTTGACAATGAGGAAGATATCACTACCTTCGTCAAGGGCAAGATACACGTAAGCCGCTACCCGCCCCCGCGCCCTGTTCTCTGCGCTCAGGGCACCGGCCTCTCCCTCTCTGGATGCTACAGGACGGGGCCCCTCCCTGCTTACAGAGCTTATTGCCCTCGCAGGCCCATCCTCCCTGGGCCAGCCACTGGGACCTGCCGAAGCTGGGAGTTTCCATTCCCTGCAAAGGGCCCAGAGCAAGTACGCGGACCCAGCTGCCTGCCAGCAGCTTGCCTGGCAGAGGAAGAAGCTGGAGGTGGTAGGATTAGTAGAAATGCAGGCCCTTGGCCCAGCAGCTCCATTCTTTGGAGTCGACCCTGCAGGGTATTCACTCACGTGAGCAGGATGGGGTGCATCGGGATGTCCCTGCAATACTGTCAGCAGAAAGGCTGGAGCAGCACCCCCTGGACCGTGGTCGGGGAACCGCCACACGCTCCTTTGCAGAACAAGAGTGATGAGACTCGAGAGCAGAACGTTCCCTGGGCACCGTCCATCCGAGTCCTGTGCTGAGCCTTGTGTCCAGGGCACTGAATGAGACACGGGGGATGTGTGCTCGAACGTGGCACAGCTATGAGAATAAGAGTTACGGAAATGGAAGCAACGTGTAAAACGGATGTCATGGCGATATTTAGGTTGTTTCCTATTGAGGGTAATTAACGTGATAACCAGCATTTATGAGAGTGTATGCACGTTTTCCTTTCTCTTGCCTTAGGGTAGGTTCCCAGGGGGGCTCCTACTGGGTCAGAGTTTCACAGGGCTGCGTTGCTTTGGGTACAACTTCCTGGACCTGGCCGGGGGCACGGAGAGTGCCCCCGCCCTCCTCTGTGCACTCTGGAGTTCCGGGCAGGGCCTGTGTTACCTCCCGACGCCGGGAAACAGGCGGAGAGCGGAGGACTCGCGAGGGCTGCAGGGTCCCACCGAGCAAGCTAGACTCTAACAATAACAATAACAGCAATAATAGCAACATTATTAAATGCTTCCTACACGCCAGGCTCAAACAAACCGATCTACAAAACAGAAAAGTTCTAAATGACTCCAGGGTCAAAGAAGAACTGGAAACTAGGAAATATTTAGAACTGAATGATAACTGAAATCCTACTGCACGATAGAACTGGTGGGATGCAGCAGAGCGGCACAGAGAAGGGAACGCAGAGGCTTCCGTCTCACGTTGTAAAAGAGCAAGGGCGGAAGGGAGCGAGCCAGCGTCGGCACAGTGACCCAGGCTCCAGAGCAACCAGGGAATTAGAAAGAGGGAAACGACAGAGGGCGGAAGTTAATTCGTAGAGAACGGGGATCGATAGAGAAGAGCAGCTGACCCCAGAGCAGCCACAGGCCTGTGGAAGAGGCGCCCACGGCGGCGGCGCCTCCAACAGGCAGCCTTGGGGAAGGACTTGGAGAAGCCGAATTTAAAGAAAAGGAGATGATGCTATAAGCAGCTTTAAGCCAATTCATTTAAGATTGTAGACAAGATGGCCGCTTTATTAGAATAATATGTACTTGTTTCCAAATGCCACCTTAACAAGTCACCACAAGCTTAGTGGCACAAAACAACTCCATTATCTTTCGGTTCAGGAGGGCAGAACTCAAAGATGCCTCACGGGCTAACATTAGGGTGTTGGCGGGGCTGCCTGCCTTTTGCAGGCTCTGAGCGGAGAATCCGTTTCCTTGCCTTTCCCAGCTTTTACGGTCCACTTGGAGTCCTTGGTTCTTGACTCCCTTCCTTCATCTTGAGTGCCAGCAGGGTGGCATCTTCAAATCACTCAGTCCCCCCCATCTCTTGTCTTCTGTGACCCTGACCCTCTTACCTCCTTAAAGGACCTGTGATCGCAGTGGACCCACCCAAATAATCCAGGACAGCCTCCCCATGTCAGAACCCTTATTTTACCACATCCACAGAGCCCCCTTTGCTCTGTAAGGTCACATTGTCCCCAGTGTGGGGCTGGCGTGTGCACATCTTTGGAGGCCATTATTTGGCCTCCCATAAACTATAACTTAGACTCGGACTCAGGAGGAAACAGGAAACCTGAACATGCCTAAAACCAAGAAAGACATGGAATCAAGAATTTACAGTTTACCCAGTGGTTTTTATAGTCAAGTGAGTCAGCCAATGAACAGGACACCGCTGCCCTGTCTGCCAGGCTGGCTCGTTCCCGGCAGTGGGGGGAGGCGGGTCGAGAACTCAGCCCCTCGACTCCCTGCCTGGGGGCCACCCAGGTGCCCCAGAGTGGGGGGAACAGCTGCTGGCGGAGGCCCGGGACAGTGGTCCCAGGGGCAGGGTGGCCCTGCTGGCCCACAGGCTACTCAGTGTGTAGAATCCGGAGCGGCAGAGACAAAGGCAGGGCCTTAGCAATGAGGAGAGAGCTTTGCCAGACCCTGTTCCCCGATGTAGAGCCAGTTCCTACAGAAGTGGTTCAGGCAGACGCCCGGGCAGCTGGGGGAGAGGAGAGGCGGCCTGTCGTAGCCGCCATGCCGGCGGTGCTGAGGCCGTGGGCGGCAGAGCACACCTCCCCTGTGGGGCCTCCCCCAACTCCTCGAGGCCCAGGGGAAGCCTGGTGTGAGCAGCAGGTGCAGCCGCAAGCACCAGCCTTGAATTACCTTAGCATATTGAGTAAGCCTCCTGGAAAACCTTTGTGCGCCTTTTGAGCTGAGTATACCAAGAACCTCTTTCACCCCAAGAAGTGTGGGACTCTTAAGCCCAGTAAAGACTCGGGCAGGACACGGTCAGCATAGATGTGCCCTGAGCCGGTGAGCCCAGTGGCTGGTCTGTGGATGTGGCAGGAGGCAGGAACCCCCTGGTATACGGGGGGATCAAATATAGGACTCGTCCAAGACATCGTCATGAGAAACGCACACCACAGCACAATGTCGTTTGGGTAAAGAAGGCGAGAAAGAGGAAATGGCACCTATTGGCTTAAAGGCGGGTCCTCACCGCCTGTGTGTGTGGGAGGAAGCCCAGGAAGGGCTGTGGGAGCCAGAGGCGGGGCCCTTCTCCACTGAACGCGCTCTTCTGCTCTGTGCTTCTTACCATTGTATTTTATAGAAATGTTACATAAAAATAAACACTTACGTAAAAAGTCACAGCTCCATGCCGTCAAGGTTCGGGGGGTTGAGGGAAGCTGCCCGGTCACGTGGGCGGCACCGGCCTGGCCACTCCCTGCCCGGGCCTTCGGGCCAGCACCCGGGCGCCCCGCCGGACTCCCCGGGCCTCTCTGCTCCAGCTTCGCTTGCCTTAGCCGTGGGAACCCTGGGCCTCCCAGGAACCCATCCCCTTGTCCTCCTCCAGGGTATCATCGCTGAAGAAAACAAGAACCTGCAGCCCCAGGGAGACGAGGACCCCGGGAAGTTCAAGGAGGCCGAGCTGAAGATGCGGAAGCAGTTCGGGATGCCCGAGGGGGAGAAGCTGGTCAACTACTACTCTTGTAGCTACTGGAAGGGTCGCGTGCCCAGGCAGGGCTGGCTCTACCTGACCGTCAATCACCTGTGCTTCTACTCCTTCCTGCTGGGCAAGGAAGGTGAGCCTGGCGCCCGGCGCCCCCCCGCCCCCCGGCGGCGCCCGGCCTCCTCCACAGCCCTCACGCCCCAGCCTCACCTCCGGAAAGTTCACCGCCTTTCCAGAATGCCAGTCCCTGTGGGGTCCCCTTCCTCTCGGCTCCCAGATATTCTGTCCCACACACAACAGAGGGTCTCCCCCAAGCCAAGTGCCACCTCAACAACCTGTGACAGGAATGCCCACACGAGCCAGGCACACACCTGGCTTTTGGGGACTCCTGCCAGTGTGTCCACTGAGGTGACGTTCTGCGTGCGGCCTCTTCTAAGCCAAGTATTCGAGGGCACACCTGTCCGTGAGTGGCTCCGGCACTGCGAATCCCACCCCGGGGAAGCCGGGGCCTCGGGCTGCGAGGCAGACTCCCCGGGCGGCCCGCGCCCTCCGCTGCCGCCTCACCAGCAGGGGGCGCCTCCAGGCTCCAGCTGTCCCGAGCGCAGCAAGGCCTTCTCCCACCGCACGCCCTGTCCTCCCCTGGCCTTGCACCTCCGTGTCAGGCAGGGGCTGGTGTCCTCTGCTGGTCGCAGGGCGTTGTGACTTTGGCTCCCACATCAGTGCACTCCCACTACATGGGGCTTCTTGGGGCCAGAATCTCAGCCAGCTCACCTGTGCACACTCATTCATGTCACACTAGTCATGTGTGGGGCAAACGTTCGCCCCGTCTCTTCTCGGGGTCGCCGTTGGGCTGGCTGGACATGCGGAGAGACCCCCGTAGCCCTGTCGCTCCCTGTGGACCTGGGGTCGCAGCACCGGCAGGCTCAGGCGTGGGGGCACTGCCGCCCGTGGGTTCGGGATGCAGGTGGGAGGCAGGAGCCGCTCTGCCCACCCCTCCAGCCCATTTGACCCAGGGCTGGTGTGTCTTCCCTGCCGGCCTCCAGTGAGCCTAGTGGTGCAGTGGGTGGATGTCACACGGCTGGAGAAGAACGCCACCCTGCTCTTCCCCGAGAGCATCCGCGTGGACACTCGAGACCAGGAGCTCTTCTTCTCCATGTTCCTCAACATTGGCGAGACCTTCAAGCTCATGGAGCAGCTGGCTAACCTGGCCATGCGGCAGCTGCTGGACAACGAGGGCTTCCTGGAGGACAGGGCGCTGCCCAGGCCCTCCCGGCCCCATAGGAACATCTCGGCGCTGAAGCGGTGCGTGGCCCAGGGGTGGGGGCCGGGCAAAGGGGAGGTTGTGGGGGCGTGAGGGATCCACAGGGTGGTAGGTCTGCAGAGGTGCCGTCTCGCAGCCCGGTGACGGGGACGTGGTGTCGGGGAGGGCTCACACACCCCTTCATCGCAGGCAGGAAGCTGGGGCACAGAGGGGTGGGGGAGCCGGCCTGACGCCCCACAGCCAGGGTGTGAGCCTGCAGCCGCCGCTGGCCTGCCCTCCCCACCGCCTCGGCCAGGGCGCCCAGAGGCCGCCCTGGGCTGCTTCCGGGACCAGGCCCCAGGGCGCCCTGCCCCCTCCCACCGGGACTGACAGCTCTTTTCCGTGGCCCTCGTCCAGGGGCCCCACAGACCCCCCCACTTCGTAGCTGTGGGGCCCTGGCCTGCGGCTGAGCGTAGCCAAGGAGGCCTGAGGTCTCTGCCGCCTCGTCCGTGGGAGTTGGTGGACAAAGCGACAGGCGCTGGTGGTCAGCCTATCCAGAGCTCCTCTGATGGCACCCCTCGGCCGTAGCTTCCTGGGGAACCAGCAGGGCTGGCCGGGAGCCCCTGGGTCCCATGGCCCATTCACTCCCGTGGGCTCGAAGCCCACAGCCGGGGCCCAGAAGCTGGGGCGGCGCCTTCAGGGCCAGAACACTGTCAAAAGATGTCATTCTGCTGATGCAAGTGACCTGGAAAGGACAAAAGGGAGGCCGGGACATGACAGCCTCTGGCACTGTCCATCCGGGGGTGCCTGCCAGGCCCCGCCCAGGCTGCCGGCAGCCCCAGCACAGGGCCAGCCGCCCGCTCAGCATGGGCGGGGTGCGCGCCTTCACAAGAAGCAATAGCATCACCTGCCTGTCAGAAGGTCCTTGTCTGGGTTCCTGGGTGGGGCTGGACTCTCCTGGTGAGAAGCAGCAGTACAGGTAGAGGGACCCTCTGGGAAAACAGTGAGTCACACCTGTCAGCCTCCAGGTGCCCGACAGGTCTCAAGGGTTGGTTTTCTGACCACTCTTCTGTGGGTCATTTTGCTTGGCCATTTAAAGTGTGTTTTATTGAACTCTAAGATCCCTGGGTAGGACTTGTTCACTGGAGGACCCCAAAGAGCCGAAATCTGATGTGCAAACCCAGCTCTTCCCCCCTTGCCTTACACCTCACCTTGGCTTCCCCAGGGACCTGGACGCCCGAGCCAAGAACGAGTACTACCGGGCCACGTTCCGGCTGCCTGGGGACGAGCGCCTGGACGGCCACACGGGCTGCACCCTGTGGACTCCCTTCAACAAGCTGCACATCCCCGGCCAGATGTTCATCTCCAGCAACTACATCTGCTTCGCCAGCAAGGAGGAGGACGCCTGCCACCTCATCATACCCCTGCGGGAGGTGAGCACCCAGCCCCCACCCGCTCTGCCCTGGCTCGCCCCGGGCCCTCAGCGTTCCGTGAGGGGCACCTGCCCTGGCCAGGCCTCCGGGGACTGGGCGCCCAGGGCTTGTCGTCAGAGGTCGCCGCGGCACGGGCTTTGGTGCGCCGGGAGAGCGCCCGCGGGCCCGTAGGGAAGCTGCAGGAAGGGCCCGCGCCTCCCTGGCCTGCAGTGGGGCCGGCACAACCCTGCTTTGGCTGGGCTTGCAGGTCGCTGACCCTGTACCGACCCCACCACATCGTTCTCAGAGGCCACCTCACTGTTCCTCTCTGATATCGGCCTTGGCGGTGGCTCAGGCTCAGGAGGTGTCATCAGAAGTCAGCTCTCTCACCCGTGAGAGGTGGGGGCCCTCTTTCTGCTGCTGCGCTGAGCGGTGCACAGGGCGTCGGGCGGGCCGAGGGCAGGCGCTGCCCCAGGCCAGGGCAGGTCCCAAGACCACCTTTTCCTCTGGGCCCAGCCAGTGGGGTGGGTTTTTTTGTTTGTTTTCTTTTTTAATTGATTTGAGAAGGTAGGGGAGAGACAGAGAATCAAGGACATCTGTTGGTTGTACCACTTACTTAGCATTCATTGGTTGGTTCTTTTTTTTTTTTTTTAAGATTTTTATGTTTATTTTTAGAGAGAACAAGAGGGAAGGAGAGAAGGAGAGACACATTGATGTGCAAGATAAACATCAATCAGCTTCATTTTGCTGTCCCCCAACCAGGGACCTGGCCCAGAACCCAGGCACATGCCCTCACTGGGAATCAAACTGTCAACCTTTTGGTTCACAGGCCAGCACTCAGTCCACTGAGCCACAAGGATCATTGGATGATTCTTGTATGCACCCTGACCAGGAATTGAACCCACAACCTTGGCATATTACGCCAACACTCTGACCAGCTGAGCTGCCCAGCCAGGGTCATACACTGAGGTTTTTAAGTTATAATCTAAATCACAGTATTTTGGTTTTATTAAAAACCTAGACCAGTGAGCCCTGGCTGGGTGGCCCAGTTGGTTGGAGTGTCGTCCCATAACCAAAAGGTTGGTGATTCGATCCTCAGTCAGGGCACATACCGAGGCTGCAGGTTCAGCCCCAACTTGGGGCATGTACGGGAGGCAACCGGTGGATATTTCTCTCTCACATCAATGTCTCTCTCTCTCACTGCCCCTACTTCTTCTCTCTCTAAAATCAATAACTATATCCTTGGGTGAGGATTTTAAAAAAATAAAAATTAACTTTGAAAACCCTAGTGCAGTGAGACCGTCCTGGCATTTGTACAAAGCCCTCATGTTACAGGTGTCGCTGTGCATGGGTGTGGACTAGCGTGCCCTCCGGCCACCCCAAGGAAAGTCAGACAAAGCGTTCAAAAGAGCCACAGCTCCAGGCCCTTCATCCCACGCTCTGTTGGGCGCCGGGCCGCGGACTTGTCCTCAGTGCTATGCTGACATGGCGCCGAGGCTTGGGGGCCGGCTCGGGGTCCCCTTGGGTCCCAGCTCCATCCCTCCTGACATTTCTGACGGCAGAGGCGCTGGCTGAGCCCGGAGCAGGGCTGTCTGGCTGCACTCGGGGTGGAGGCCCTGGCCCTGTACCCTCCAGTCCTCGGGGTCCGGCCCAGGAGGCCTCCGGGCCCCTCCCTGAGAGCCGGCTGCGCTCCAGAGTTGGCACGCCCTCCGCGCTCCTCCTGCCCCGCCCTGCAGTGTCGCTGCCCCTCCACCTGTGTCGCTGAACCGCAGGAACCGCTCTTGATTCTGGCCTCCTGGCCCCCTTCCTGCATCTTGGCCACATCCCGTCTCTTCCTCTCTACAGCCACCACCTAGGACACCAGTATGTGCTTGGGCCACCTCAGGAGTGTCCTGCACACACCTAACCCCTTTAGGACCCACCCTTGCACAGCGGCCAGTGCACATCAATAGGATGTCCGTCAACCAGAGCACAGCGGCACCTGTGTGGGACCCTCCAGCGCCTCCTGCTGGGCCTGTGAGCCGTTCTCCCCTCCCAGATCTCAGCTCACATGCACGTAGATGTGTGTACACATACACTCACGCAGCACACGTGTGTGCACTTGCACATATGTGCACAAATGGGTGCCACATGCACACTCGTGTGCTCATAACACCAGTTCATATGTACATGGCACAGTACATGTACACACGTCACCCCACCTGCATGCACATACACACCTGGTACTCAAATGTGCACACATGCATATACCTATATGGCCATACACATGTGTACACACGTTTACACACATGTGTGCACGCACACACGCCCTACCCCACCCCTGCTGACCCAGCCCCAGCCTCTCCAGCCTGTCCTTGCCCATCGGGCCGGTTTGGTGCCTCCTCCGTGTGGCTGCCAGGCCTCTACCCCAGCCCCTCCCCCGGCTGCCCCGGGCCTCAGCTCTGCCGCTACCTCCCCAGAGGAGCCCTCAGCCCAAAGCAGCCCAGGGACCCCCCAGCTGGCCTGTCACCCCCACCACCCCTGCTGACCGTCCGCAGCCTGCGTGGCCGGTGTCCGTCCCCAGCCCAGGCGGCAGGCTCTGAGAGGCGCCCCGGAAGCCTGGCCTGCACTCCCCACGCCTGTGTGGCTCTGTCCGCGGTTCCTGCGGGCAGAGCAGCGGCCCGGCCATGCCTGCTGGCACGTGCTCTGGGGACGAGTGCTGAGGACGGCCGTGCGGGGAGGGGGGGCTGCTCCCCCGCTCCAGAGCAGAGGAAGAGCTGGCCATTGGGGGAAGCTCATAAGGTCCAGCAGCTGGGCCGGCTGTCCTCATGACAGACCTGCTGGGCCGACGTGCTCGCCCGTGTTGGCCGGGGAGGAAGCAAGGCTCAGACGCGCACGGAGCTCGCAGCAGCAAGCGCAGGGCGAGGCGTCGGTGCTGCGGCCCGAGTGCCCCTCCCACTCATGGCCTGGCGGCGCCCTCCTGGGAGGGCCGCCTGAGGCCACTGTACTCGCGTGCACACAGAGCCTTCCAGCTTTATGTCCCAAGACGCAGACACCTGGTGTTTTTGCCTTCTCAGGTGACCATTGTCGAAAAAGCCGACAGCTCCAGTGTCCTGCCCAGCCCTCTGTCCATTAGCACCAAGAGCAAAATGACCTTCCTGTTCGCCAACCTGAAAGACCGCGACTTCTTGGTTGAAAGGATCTCTGACTTCCTACAGAAAACGTCATCTAAGCAGCCAGGCAGCGGCAGCTCGGGGAGGAAAGCCAGCGTCGGGGACCCGGCCCCAGAGGTGCGAGAGGGTCCCTTGGGAGCGGGGGGTGGGGGTCAGGGCCAGGAGAAGAGCCCAGGCAGCCCTGGGGTGCCCGCCATGGGCCTTGGCGGGGAAGCCCCTTCTGGGTGTGGGGCGAGAGCCTGCCCCAGCCCCAGGGGTCCCGGCGTCCCTGCACGCTTGAGCTGCCAACGTCACCTCTGCACCCCGTCACACCCGCTGGTCCTCCTGCACATCTCCCGCCTGCTTCCAGTCCATGGCCCAGGGGAAGCCTTTTCTGGCTGGACCCGCCCCCTCCGGGAGCATGCGCTGCGCTGACAACCACACTGCAGCCCCGATCAGCTTGGGAGCTGAGGTTCAGGCACCTGGCCCGTGTCGGGCCGGGCGTTCAGTCTGAGATTCGTGCAGAGGAAAGCCTCCTCTCAGAGACTCCACTGCAGCCTCATTAGTACAGCAACAAAATTCTCAAAAATTCCCGAATGTCCAATACTTGTATTCCCACTTCCCCAAACGTAGATGTACTTCTTACAGTTTAATCATTGGAACTGAGGACACGTACGTCATATGTTACAGTCAGTTGATGTATCTTTTAAACTTCTTTTTATCTATAGATTTCTGCTCTAGCTCTCTCTCGCAATATTTTTTTGATGGAATTGGGTCTTTTGTGCTGTAGAGATTCTCAGTTTGGTTTTTATTGATGACATTCCCCATTCCCTGTAAGTTGGTGGTTGAGTAGTAAGATCCAGATCAGACTCTGAGTCAGTTGTTTGGTTTGGGGCCAGGTCTGCTTGTTGGCAGGATTTAAGTGACAGGCGCTTCCGCCAAGACACGCCCCTGTGACACCTGGTCTTCTGGTCGTGAGCTGTCCGCGTTGCCGATCAGTCCTTCGTCAGGAGCGGCAGGAGGCGACGCTCACGCTGTCGCCCCTTCTGCCTGTCAGCTGGAACGCGCCCTTAAAGGGAGACGCCCCTCATGGATTATTTTGTAACCTCAGGCACAGTTCATACAGAAAGGGGAAAATCTTTCATTCTGTCCTGTTTTTCACCAATTGTTAAAATAATGAGTTGGTTGTCTAGTATCCTCCAAATGTGATCAATGTTTTCTGCCCTTTTAATGTTTCATTGTTTACACGATTGCAGTTGTCCCAGTTTCCCCCCGCCCCCGCCGCCCGGCCTGCCCCCCGCTTCCGTAGCCAGCCCCGACTCTGTCGTCCGTGTCCGTGGGTTATGCGTGTATGCTCTTTGTCTAGTCCCTTCCCCTCCTCTCAGCCAGTCCCCACCTCCTTCCTCCCTTCTCAGAGCTGTCAGTCTGCTCCATGATTCCATCCCTCCGGTTCTATTTTGCTCATTAGTTTATTTTGTTCATTAGATTCCTCTTATAAGTGAGATCACATGGTGTTTGTCTTTCACCGCCTGGTTTATTTCACTTAGCATGATATTCTCCAGTTCTATTCATGCTGTCCCAAAAGGTAGGTGTTCCTTCTCCTTTCTGCTGCGTAGTGTTCCACTGTGTAAATGAGCCACGGTTTTTTAATGCACCATCTACTGAGGGCACTTAGGCCGTTTCGAAATCTTGGCTATTGTCAATAATGCTGCTATGAACATGGGGGTACATATATTCTTTTGAATTGGTAATTCAGGATTCTTAGGATATATTCCCAGAAGTGGAATTGCTGGGTCATGAGACAGATCCATTTTTAATTTTTTGAGGAAATTCCATACAGTTTTCCACAGTGGCTGCACCAGTCTGCATCCCCACCAACAGTGCACGAGGGTTCCCTTTGTCTCCATAATCTCGCCAACACTTGCTTGTTCACTTTGTTTTTGATGTTTACTTTTTAGTGTAATTATGAACTTGCACATTTAAGCCATTTGATGTGTTTCAGTCCATGACAGTTACTGTCTTCAGCTAATCTGTGACCACACCTGGTGTTATGTGCATATGAATGAGTGTGCGTGCACACAGGGGAGTGTACAGGTTGGCACCTGTGTCCTTGTGACGCAGCCCTTGCCATGTTTGATCGCTCCCTTGCTTCCTGATGTGTCAAGGTGTGTGCTGTTGGTCATTCTGAAACTTAAAATTACATGTGTGGCTCTCACGATATTTCCCTTGGGCAGAGCTGGGCTAGAGGGTGGCAAGAGTAGAAGCAGAGACCAGCTGGAGGGCGGCAGCAGGACCTGGGACCAGAGACGCCAGGGCCTTGGGCGGGGTGGTAGCAGCGAGGTTGGTGGAAGTGGTCAAATTCGGGGTATGTGTTCTTTTACTTCTTAAAATTTACCATCTGAACCATTTTTAGCTGCACAGCTCAGTGGCATCGAAGCACATTCACACCGCAATGCGGCCGTCACTGCCACCGTCCACTGAGCTGCTTCATCCTGAAAAAGTGACTCTCTGTCCCCAATAAACATGCCTCGTCATTCCTCCGTGCCCCCCGCCTGGGAACCACGCTGTTAATTCTGCCTCTGAGAGCATTTCCGCTCCAGGCACCTCACGTAAGAGGGGTCGTGCACTATTTGTTCTGTGACTGGCCCATGTCACCTAGTATAACATGCCCTGTGTGTGTGTGTGTGTGTGTGTGTGTGTGTGTGTGTGTGGCAATCCCTCTTCTGGGTATTTATCCGAAGATATATATGTATATAGTATCACATTTTGTTTGTCCATTCATTTTTTAAATTAGTTTTGTGTTCAATTACAGTTAACATTCAGTATTCTATGTTAGTTTCAGGTATACAGCGTCGCAGTTAGGCGTTTATGTAATTTACAAAATGACCCCCAACACATAGTTGTCACAGAATTATTGACTATACTCCCTGTGGCGCGCTCGGCCTCCTCACGACTCCCGGTCTGTAGCTTCCAATTTTTACTTCATAATCTAGTCACCGTTTTGGCCCAGCCCCCAACTCTCCTTCCACCTGGCAACCCATCAGTTTGCTCTGTATCTATGAGTTTGTTTCTGTTTTGGGTACTCATTTATTTTGTTTTTTAGATTTCACATAGTAGTGAAATCATACGGTATCACTGATCATCAGAGAGATGCAAATTAAAACCACAGTGAGCTATCACCTCACACCTGTCAGAATGGCTGTCTCAGGAAATCAACAAACAACAAGTGCAGGGGAGGCTGTGGAGGACAGGGAGCCCTCGTGCCCTGCTGGTGGGGACGCAGGTGGTGCAGCCACTGTGGAGAGCAGTGTGGCGGTTCCTCAAAAAAAGTAAAAATAAAACTACCATATGATTCAGCAGTCCCACTTCTAGGTCTTTATCTGAAGAAATCCAGGGCACTAATTACAAAGGATGTGTATCCATTTATCTTTTGACCACCGCTTGGGTTGCTTCCACCTTTCAGCTGTTGTGAATGATCCTGCTAAGAACATGGGTGTAAAAATTTCTCTTCATTATAAAATAATGTAAACTGTAATTGAAAAAAAATTTCTTAATTTAAAAAAATTCTGTTCAAGACCCTACTTTCAGTTCTTTTGGGGAAGAACTGCCCAGAAGTGGAATTTCTGGGTCAAATAGTAATTCAGTGTTTATCATATGTACCATAGAGTCTTCCACATTGGTTGTACCACTGTACATTGACCAGCAAGGCAAAAGGGTTCAATTTCTCCTGTTTCATGCTAATACTTGTTATTTTCTGTTTTTTAAAAAATGATAACCATTCTAATGGGTGTAGTATGATATCTCATTTCTTTTGATTTGCATTTTCCAATGATAAATCATGTTGAGCATCTTTTCCTATGTCTCCCGGCCATCTGTATGTTTTCTTTGAAGAAGTGTCTATTCAGTTGCCCATTTTTTTAATTGGGTTATTTGATTTTGTTGTTCAGTTTTAGAAGTTCTTTATATATTGTGGATGTTAGCCTCATATCAGAGATATGATTTTAAAATATTTCCTCTCATTCTGTGGGTTGCCTTCTCAGTCTGATGAGTGAGTCCTCTGATGCACATACGTTTTTAATTTTTAGGTAGTTAAGTTTACATATTTTTCCTCTATTACTTGAGCTTTTCGTGTCACATCCAAGAAATAATTGCCAGTCCAATGTTATGAAGCTTTTCCTCTGTTTTGTTCAGAATTTTATAATTTTACCTCTTGCATTTAGGTGTTTGCTCCATTTTGAGTTTCTGTTTGTGTGTGGTATGAGGTAAAGGTCTGATCTCATCATTCTGTGTGTGGATATAAAGGTTTTTCAGCATCATTTGTTGTAAAAACTATTCATTCCACATTGAATGGTCTTGGCATCTTTGTCAAAATCATTTGACCATCTATGCGAGGGTTCATTTCTGGGCTCTCAGCTCTATTCCATTGGCGCATATGTCTATCTTTATACCAGTACCACACTATTTTAACTACTGTAGCTTCATAGTAAATTTTTAAATCAGGAAGTCTGAGGCCTCCAACTTTATTGTTTTAAAGATTTTTTTTTTTTTTTTTGGTTATTTGGGGTCCCATGAGTTTCTATATGAATTTTAGAAAAGATTTTTTCCATTTTTACACACACGCACACACAAAAAGTCTTTAAGATTTTGATATGGATTGTATTGAATCTGTGGATCACTTTGGGTAGTACTGATATCATAACAATCTTAATTCTTCCAATCCATGAATATGGTATTTGTGTCTTCTGTTTCTTTTCGCAGTTCTTTTACTTTTTAGTGTACATCTTTCACTTCCACAGTTAAGTTCATCCTAAGTATTTTATTCGTTTTGGTGCTACTGTAAATGAAATTATTTTCTTGGCTTCCTTTTGGGATTGTGTGGTGTTAGCGTATGACAGGGTAGACTTTGAAGGCAGGCCTGAGAACGGATGGATTTGGTGTGGGGTCTAAGAGAAGGAAGGGGGTCGGGGATGGCACTGGTTTTGGCCCGAGCAGCTTAAAGCACAGAACTGCCCTTTAGTGACACGAGGCGGACGCAGGAGGAGCAGGTCTGGAAGAATTCCGTTTTGGATGGATGGCGTTTGGGGTTGAGGACGGGGAGGCCCGAGAACTGACCTCTGGAGATGGCAAAGCGCGGTCACGGTGGCTCAGCGGAAGGACGGGGGGGAAGCCGGATTGGAGTGGCCTTCCCTGGCGCACGGTGGCAGTGGCTGGGTAATTTTAAAATCTTACCGAATTTCCTCATAAAAACGCAGAGAGCAACTCTAAGGGTACAAGTAAAAGCCCACGGACAACCGCTTGGACGGGAGCAGGAGAAAGGGCGCCTGGACACTCCAGACCAGGGCCAGTGGGGTCAGGCCGCCGAGTGCTGCGCCGTCCTGCACGGACACAGGGGCAGCGCCTGCGCAGATGTCACGGCAGAGGTGGGGGACAGAGAACGGTTCTGCTCCGACAGCCCGGAGAGCCGAGGAGTCCGCAAAGCACCCAACAAGGTAGCTCCCTGCCCCCAAAGCAACGACTCACTGACCAGAACCTCAGCAAGTGCCTCTGAGAAACAGCCACTGAAGCTGGGAGCAGACCCCTCAGGCTCCCGTCCCCCGATGAGTCAACAGGACGCACGGAGCCCGGGGTCTGCTAATGAGCCGAAGGGAGACAGAGAAGCCAGGATGGCCCTAGCAATCGAAAATCTCAAAAATAGGACTTCTGGTCAACAGGGAAGCATAGGTAGGTACACCTCGCCTCCTTGCACAACCTCAAGAAAAATTACAACTAAACCTCAAAACAAATAATACCCAGAACTGCCAGAAAATTGAACTGTATTTAAGTCCAACAACAAAAGATTTGAAGACACCACATTAACCCAGATGGGTAGGCGGGGCAGAGACGTGGAGCCGGGGCAGAGAGGCAAGGAGACACAGTGTGGCATGGGGAGGGCTGGCGGAACGCGTGGTCCCACATTCATGTGTGGTGGATAAAATCAGGAGAGGTATCTTGGGAGCGAGGGATCCCAGCCCCAGGCCAGACTGCGCAGCCCAGCGTTCCAGCACCAGGAAGGTAAGTCCCCATACCTTCTGGCTGTAAAAACCAGTGGGAGTGGGAGTTAGTTTCCAAGAAACTAACAGTTTCTTGGAAAGTCTGTTTAAAAGGCCCCCGTGGGCTTAGAAGGTGCTCAGACCCACCCACTCTGGGATTCCCCAGCAAGGCAATGGCTGGAAGGGCGTCAGTTGCAGACAGGAAATGGGGGAAGTGACTGGAAATGGAGTGAGTGCTGGGCAAACCTCCAGAATCCAGAAGCAGAGGCATTGTCCCCTCTCCAGCCAGTCCCCCACGTACAGAGCCACAAGGCTGTGAAGTGGGTGCCCTGCCCTGGTGACTGCCGAAGGCTGCACACCACCCAACGTAACAGGTGCCTAAGGCAGAGAGTCAAAGCCGCTCTACCTCATACACAGAAACAAACTTAGGGACGCTGCCAAATTGAGGAGACAAAGAAATGTGGTTCAAATGAAAGACCAGAACAAAAACCCAGAAAAAGAACTAAACAAAATGGAGATGGCCAACCTGTCAGATGCAGAGTTCAAAACACTGGTTACCAGGGTGCTTGGAGAACTCATTGAGTACGGCAACAACATAAAGGAAGAAATGAAGATTAAACTAAGTGAAATAAAGAAAAATCCACAGGGAACCAACAGTAAAGGGAAGGAAGCCGGGATTCAAATCAACAGTTTGGAACATAAGGAAGCAATAGAGACTCAACCAGAACAGAATGAAGAAATAAGAATTCAGAAAAACAAGGAGTGTTTAAGAAGTCTTTGGGACATCTCCAAAAGTGCCAAATCCGAATCATAGGGGTGCCAGAAGGAGAGGAGGAAGCACAAGAAATTGAAAACTTACTTGAAAAAATAATGAAATAAAACTTCCCTTATTTGGGGAAGGAAATAGACATCTAAGTCTAGGAAGCACAGCGTCCCAAACAAGTTGGACCCAAAGAGGACCACACCAAGACACATCATAATTAAAATGTCAAAGGTTAAAGATAGAGAATCTTAAAAGCAGCAAGAGAAAAACAGAGTTACTTACAAAGGAGTTCCCATAAGACTGTCAGCTGATCTCTCAAAAGAAACTTTGCAGGTGAGAAGGGACTGGCAAGAAGTATTCAAAGTGATGAAAAGCAAGGACCTATGTCCAAGATTACTCTATCCAACAAAGCCATCATTTAGAATGGAAGGGCAGATAAAGTGCTTCCCAGACAAAGTAAAACTAAAGGAGTTCATCACCACCAGGTCCTTATTGTATGAAATGATAAAGGGGCTTACCTAAGAAAAAGAAGAAAATAAAAACTATGAACAGTAAAATGACAACAAACTCACAACTATCAACAACTGAACCTAAAAAACAAAAACTAAGCAAACTAGAACAGGAACGGAATCACAGATTCTGAGAACTGGAGATCACATGGAGGGTTATCAGCGGGAAGGAGGAGGGGTTTAGAAACTTAATTGGTAGGCACAAAATAGACGGGGAAGTTAAGAACAGTACAAGAAAGGAGAAGCCAAAGAACTTATGTGCACAACCCGTGGACATGAACTAAGTGGGGGGAGAGTTGCTGAAAGGAAGGGGGATACCAGGTAGAGATGGGCAAAGGGGGAAAAATTGGGACCACTGTAATAGCATAGTCAATAAAATATACTTAAAAAAATTTTTTTAAAGAAAATCTAAAAGGTAGTCTGCATCAGGGTGCTTGTGGCCTCGACTGGGGTCTTGTCCCTGGATTCTAGCAGTTTGTAATAAAAAAGTGTTTTAGTGGATCCACAGTCCTTTTCAAAACACCAGCCAGGGCATAGGGTGGACTGTGGGTGTGAACGTGGCAGAGTTCTCTTCTTTTTCCCCTTTAAATTTTTTTAATTAAAAACGGCTCCCCTGCGGCACAGTGGACATGCTGCATGCTGTCCGTGTGGCAGGAGTGGACTTGCACGTCATTCCCGGGAAAGCATCACGGCCACAGGGCGCCCTGTGCGGGACACGGAGGGCCGGCGCCACGCCGGCAGCCTGGGGGGCCAGAGCCGGCCGCAGGGCGCTGGGCAGGCGCCCCAGCCCAGACCGAGCCCGTGGGCCGCCACCCGAGAAGTCCACGCAGCAGCCGCCTGTCCTCAGGGCTGGCCTCTGCCCGCCGGACGGGGCTTCCTGCCAGTAGTGGCATCCCTGGGCTGCGGCGGCACCAGGGTGGCAGAAGCCCCGTCGCTTCCTTGGCTCACCCGTGTTCCCTGTAGAGTCGCCACCACACTCCCGTGGTGGGCGCTGGGTGACACAGCACCCCAAGCCCCTGAGGCTGGGGGTGGGAAACGCTCGCTGGCCTGGGGCCGTCACCCAGGCCTCAGCAAACCCCGCAAAGCACGGGGCCGAGAGCAGCCCCGCTGCCGGCCAAGGGGGCCAGGGGCCCGTGTCCGCCCAGGGCGGCGCTGGTTCTGGCGGGGGGCGCTCAGGGAGGGAGCTGAGGGGAGAGCCTGCGGCGGCCCTGGCTCTGGGCCCGCCGGCCCTGGGCTGGGGACACCCCTCCTGCACCAAGCGCTGCCTGGTGCGGCAGTGCCTGCAGGACACGTGTCGGGCGCCACTCACACGGCGGGGCCTCCCTGAGGCGGGGCGGGCACTGGGACAGGAGACCCGCACCACGGTGGGCGGGGGCGGCAGCCTCGGGACCTGCTCGCTCTGTTGGCAGCGTGAGGGCTGGACGCAGCGGCTCCGGAAAAAGCCAGGGAAGAGCCGTGAAGGTCAGGGCTTCCCTGCAGACCTTTGTCCCTGGTGCTGCCCTTTCCTCGGCCGGCCCCCTATTGTGTCCTCCTCCCCTTTCCGTGCGTTCCTAGAATGCACAGGGATCGTTTCTCTTTCCCTTGGCCAGCTGTGCAGTGGGAAAGCCGATCCCCAGGCCCCAGCCCTCCTGGGGCCCCCCAACGCAGGTCGCACCCTGTGGGGAGGTAGCCCGCAGCAGACATGGTCCACCAGCGGAGGCCCTCCTTACCTCCAGTTCTGGGCCTGCATCCTCATCTTTGCCCCCAAAGCCCCAGCAGCTTCGTTGGAAGCAGCAGACCACAGACTAGAGCCCAGTCTGAAGCTGGCACGGGTGCCCAACGCAGAGAGGCACATGCGCTAGTGAACCCTGGAGCCTTCCCCTGGAGGGCGCTGTGGGCGGTGGCCTGAGGGAGAGAGGACCCCTGCCCTTACATGGCAGGCGGTCATGGCGGGGGTGGAGGGGGCACGCCTGCAGCGGGGACGGCCTCAGGCGGGACCCCGCCCCTCTGCCAAGGGGCGCAGGCTGTCAGCTCGGGCCTGTGCAGGGGATGGGCCCACGCACTCTCCCTGCTCCTGCCCCACGGCGTCGCCAGTGCTCTCTCTTGGCAGTCCCCACTGGAGCCAGCCCCTGGACAGGGGCCTGGGGACAGCCAGGGCAGCCGCCACCCACAGCCATCCCTCCAGGGCGACCTGGGCCTGCGCCCCAGAGGCTGGAACATGGACAGTGTCGCCGGGAACTCCGCGCGGTCGCCAGCCCCGGGAGGCGCAGGCGCTGGCTTCTCGGGGTTTCTCCTCTCTTGGCCCTGGCCTCGCTGAGAGGGCCTCTCAGGGTGCGCCCACCTGGGCCCAGGCGGCCCAGTGAGAGGCCGGCCAGCCTGGCGAGGCCTGGTGGAGGAGGACGGTGCGGGTGTCCGGTGGACCAGGCTGAAGTGTGGCCTGCTCGTCCAGACCGGGTGCTGCCAGCCAGGCAGTGACTGAGTGCCCGTGGGGGGCCTGCAGGCCCAGCGCTCTCCCTTGTGTTCTTTGCAGCCTGCGCCAGCTCCCTGGGAGCCGCCGGAGCAGCCTGCCAGCCCCACCTCGCCCTGCGGGGGCCGCCAGGGCTCCCTCGCACAGCAGGCGCCCACCGCTTCCCAGGGCCTGCTCAAGCTCTTCCAGAGAGACGCCCTGGTGGAGGACCTGGGGGCCAAGGGGGTAAGCCCAGGGCGTGGGCTCCATCGCTGGGCCGGGCCCGGCCCAGGCCTGGGAAGCCAGGGCCAGCCTGAAGCGCGGTGCCCATCGTGGGTGGGGCTGAGTTCCGCCCAGCCTGTGCTGGTGGCAGTTTGCTTGTGAGCCCTCGGAAGCCTGAGGTGGCTGGTCTGCGTCCAGATGGGGGAGGAGGGCCCAAGAGCCCCCTGGGCCCCAGCACCCCGGGTCGCACCCCCAGGCTCCCTGCTGCTTTCTGCCCAGGCCAAGGAGAAGATGAAAGAGGAGTCGTGGAACATCCACTTCTTTGAGTATGGGCGCGGCGTGTGCATGTACCGCACGGCCAGGATGCGGGAGCTGGTGCTGAAGGGCATCCCCGAGAGCCTCCGCGGGGAGCTCTGGCTCCTCTTCTCCGGTGAGCTGCCCTGCTGACCCCCAGCAGAAATGGGGCTCCCCTGGGCAGGGCTTGTTCGGGCCCATGCCAGGAGGGGCATCCTGGGGAGCAGGCACCAGGGTGGGGTGCTGTCGCCGGATGGCACCTTCCCGCCTGCAGTGGAATGCCGGCAGCCCCCGAGGCCCCTTTCCTGGGGACAGGCTCTGACAACATTCACAGCCTTGGCCACTTGGACAGTTTCAGGACGAGGGGTGTTGGCCTCTGGAACTTCAGTGGGGTGAGCGCTCCAAGGAGCACTCACAAGGGAACCCTTGGCCCGTACCGCACGACTGACCCCAGAGCCCCCCTTCTCCTCTGTGGCCCTGCTCTGGCACTGTGCCCAAAGTCCCGGGTGGGAGGAGGAGAGAGCCCGCTGCCCGCCGTGTCTCCACAGGGGCCTGGAACGAGATGGTGACTCACCCCGGCTACTACGCCCGCCTGGTGGAGCAGTCCACGGGCAAGTCCAGCCTGGCCACTGAGGAGATCGAGCGCGACCTGCACCGCTCCATGCCCGAGCACCCTGCCTTCCAGAACGAGCTCGGCATCGCCGCGCTCCGGCGGGTGCTGACCGCCTACGCCTTCCGGAACCCCACCATCGGCTACTGCCAGGTGAGGGCACAGCGGGGCCTGCCCAGCCCTGGGCCTGCACCACGGCCTCACACACCTTCACGGGGGCCCTGTTCCCCAGAAAATGCCCGGCCCTGGGGGAAAGCGTAACTAAAAACGGTATCAGTTGCTCCTCTCCTCCCTGTGCCGGACACTGAGCCGCCTTCTGTGTGCTGCTCGTGTGGTCCACGGAGGCACCGCACTGACTCCTGTGTGTGATAAAATACACGTGACAGAGAGCTTAGCAGCGCCACAGCTTTGGAGTGCGCAGTTCTGTGGCATTCGGTGTGGCCTTGTGCTGCCACCCCTACCATCATCTCTAGAACTCCTTCCTCCTGTAAAACCGACACTCTGTCCCCGTTAAATCACTCCCCTCGTCACCCCTGGCAGCCACCGCTCTCCAGTCCTTCCTGTCTGTGTGACGCCAACCTCTCCAGGTGCCCCTGATTGGTGGTGTCATGCAGCATCTGTCCTGTTGTGACTGGCTTGTTTCATTGGCTTAATGCTCTCAAGGTTCACCATGTAGCTGGTGTCAGAATTCCCTGCCCTGTTTTTTTTTTAAAGATCTTATTTATTTTTAGAGAGGGGAAGGGAGGGAGAAAGACGGAGAGAAACAGCTATGTGTAGTTGCCTCTCACACGCCCCCTGCTGGGGACCTGGCCTGCAGCCCTGGGACCTTTCTGTCTGCGTGACCCCACACAGAAGGTTCTGTTCCCAGCCTGTGCCCTGACTGGGAATCGGACTGACGCCGATGCCCCTTTGGTTCGCAGGCTGGCATTCGGGGCCCCCTGAGCCGCACCAGCCAGGGCTCCCTGCCTTTTTAAGGCTGAATAACATTCCATTGTATGGACAGACCACTTTGGTTAACCTGCCTGCTGACGGACACTTGGGCTCCTCCCGCCTTTTGGCTGCGCGAATGTGCGGCTGTGAGCCTGGGGCACAGCATCTGCCCCGTCCCTGCTCTCGGTCATTTTGTGTCTCTTCCCAGAAGTGCAAGCTCTGGTCATGTAGTAACTCTATATTTGACTTTCTGAGGAATTGCCATAGCATTTTCCACGGAAGCTGCACCCTTTCCATCCCCACCAACAGTGCACAAGGCTTCCAGTTCTCCTCGTCCTCACTGGCACTTGTTTTCTGCGTTGATAACAGCCGTCCTCGTGGTGCGAGGTATCACCACCTGGTGGCTCCGTTTGGCCTTTCTGGCCGCATTTCATTGTAAATCCACTGAGCCTTTTTCTGGCCAGGTCAGGTGGCTTCCTGTTCCCCGCAGACTGCTCCTGGGTTTTAGAGAAGCGACAACTCCCCGAAAGCCACCTTCTATAGGGCCACTGTCCCGCATGACGTCTGCCCTGCGCACGGGAAGCCGCTGTGCTGGCTTTAAATCATTGTTAAGCTCATCGCCCCCAGTGATGGGGTGGGCAGGGTTGCATCTTGCCATAGCCTCCCTGCCGCTGTGCAACCTCGCACGCCACTCACCCGCACGCCCACCTGTGCCCGTGTCACAGCCCCGACGCCCGACGCTGCTTGGAAGGCGTCGCATGCTCACGGCTGCCTGCTCACGTTTCCAAGTGCCTGCCAGCCCCGTGCACGGGAACGGCTGCCTGGTTTTGTCAGATTGGCTTCCGGCACATTGTTTTTTGACAAATTGCACGGAGTCCGGTGTAGGATGGTTTGTTGTAGAGCGAAACCCTTTTGGGGAGGGGACAGCTTCCCTTGGTGTCCAGCTCCAGAGCCTCCCCTCACCGTCTCTGTGCCCACAGGCCATGAACATTGTCACCTCGGTGCTTCTGCTCTATGGCAGCGAGGAGGAGGCCTTCTGGCTGCTGGTGGCCCTCTGTGAGCGGATGCTGCCCGACTACTACAACACCAGGGTGGTGGGTGAGTGCCTGCTGCCCGGAGGCCCCGGGTGGGGCTGGGCCTCCCTGGTCGGGCGCCCTGCCCGGCACGTCCCGCCCAGCAGCCCATAGGCCTCCCAGCCGTGCTGCGGGCTGCAGGCAGCGCCAGGCCCTCCGGCAGGCCAGGAGGCTGCGGCGTGGGGACGCGCTGCGGGCCCGGCCGGCTCACCAGGTTTCCGGTGGGTTCCCTGGGACAGGCTGGCAAGAAGGCAACCTGTTGCGCTTCGGTGGTTTTAAAAGTCAGCTCGATGCCTGAGTTCCTGTCCGTCTGACGTCTTCACTTTTTATTTTGGAAAACGCCCAACCTCCCCCCTAGAGCCCGCGGCGCCTGTGCACCTGTCCCCCAGCGCCGCCTCTCGTGAGCTCAGCGAGCAGCCGGCGTCTGTGCCACGAGCGCACTTGCTGACGCCGCTGACAGTGTGTGACTATGTCTGTTCCTTCACGATGTCCTTCCCTCAGCGTTTGTTTTTTGGGTCTCCGCTCTTGGGGTGCTTTAGAACCAGCCTCAGGGCAGGTGCAGAAGCCACTGAGGCCACTGTTACTTATGATGCTTCCAGGGAGAAATTCGTGTTTCCCCAGGAGAAAATCCAGTCTAATGGAAGAAATCGTTCATTTTACACACTGGTTTGGAAGCTGTAGAGAGCAAGCGTAGCGGGTTTTTTTCTTGTTCTCTCTGCCCACTCCACCCTCCTTCAGCTCCCACTGCAGCGGGGCAGCTGGGGGCCTCAGCTTCCTGGCCCCCAGGCCCCGGGCCCCGCCCAGGGCCGCCGAGCGGCGGGCAGGGCTCACCATGCGCTCGGTGCTCTCACCAGGGGCCCTGGTGGACCAAGGCATCTTCGAAGAGCTCACGAGGGACTTCCTGCCCCAGCTGTCCGAGAAGATGCAGGAGCTCGGGGTCATCGCCAGCATCTCGCTGTCCTGGCTCCTCACCCTCTTCCTCAGCGTCATGCCCTTCGAAAGCGCCGTGGTCATTGTTGACTGCTTCTTCTACGAGGGCGTCAAGGTGGTCCTGCAGGTGGCCCTGGCCGTCCTGGATGCCAACATGGAGCAGCTACTGGGCTGCAGCGACGAGGGCGAGGCCATGACCGTCCTGGGCAGGTGACCGAGGGCCCCCCGCGCCCTGCCCACCAGCTCCCGGCCAGAGCTAGAGTCAGGGACACTGGGAGGCAGGCGGCAGCCCCTTTCTCATGGAGACAAAGGGCACAAGGGGGAACGGTCACCACTTGGGGAGGGTCAAACGGGAGGTGGCCCAGACGCACTGGGCGGGAGGGCCTGCTGGGCGCAGGCGGCGGGAAGAGCAGCCTCCGGCTCGCGCCTCCATGAGCCCGGCCGGCCCGCCCTCCTGCCACCCGGGCCCGGGGTCCGCACTGGGCCTGCTGTGGCCACCGAACAGCGGTCCTGGCAGCCACCTCCTCTCCAGTGCCCACGCCTCGCCCCCACGGACGCTCCAGGGGGTGCAGCCCCTCCCTCCAGGCCCACGACGCTTCTGCCCGGGCCTCTCACCCAGCAGCGTCCCGCAGGGCCCTTTCTGATTGGCACCTGACCCGTTTCCCCCCTGGACACAGGGGCTCCCTCTACCACTGGTGGTTCTCTGTGCAAAGGGGCCGAGCCCCCCAGCCTGGCCCGCACAGCCCCACCATCGAGGCCCCTCCCGGCCCCGGCCCCGCGCTCGGGGCAGCCCTGCCGGCCGTGTGCGCACACCTGCCTGGCCGGAGTGCCCGCTGGCCGCGGTGGCCCGGGACACTGCCACTCGCCGGCTGAGCCCCCCGCCGCTGTGGGGGCTGCAGGGGGCCTGTTCTTAGTCCAGAGTGGGGTCCAGAGGCTCAGCCAGTGACCCAAGTCTGAGACTGGTTCTCATGCCACAAACACCAGCCTCCCCCAGAACAGGAACTCTGGGTGCAGGAGGCCAGCCGCCCTGTCCCGGGCTGGTCCCTGCGGACGCAGGTCCCCGACAACGTCCCCCGCTGGCCTCCTCTTGCCCCTTTCTCCCGGCCCCTGATTCTCTTGGCCAGGGAGTGCCCTGTCCCTGGGGACACAGCCGGGTGGGTGGGGAGCACATCCCTCCAGCTGGGACACAGCTCTCTCCTGGTGTGGCAGGGTCTGGGCCCACAGAGGGTCCTGCCCATGGGACCCCCGAGGACAGCCTGGGCCCCCAGGCTTCATGGGAGCAAGGCCTTCCCCCACTAGTGGATGCCCAGCACTCTGCAGGCCCCCTCATCAATGGGGAGGCTGCGCACGTTAGACCCCCACCCCTTAGCCGAGGGTGAAACGCCCCTGTCTCTCTGCCCCCACAGGTACCTGGATAACGTGGTCAATAAACAGAGTGTCTCTCCGCCTATCCCACACCTCCACGCTCTGCTGACGAGTGGAGATGACCCTCCTGAAGAGGTGGACATCTTCGAGCTGCTCAAAGTGTCCTACGAGGTCAGCGCTCACGGGGGTGCCAGGCGGGGCCATTCCGTCCGCCTGTGTGGGCGCGTGTGGCCTCAGCGGAGCGGGGCGGGGGGCGCTCCCCTGCATGGTCACCCTGGCCTCACCGTGCCACCTTTGACCCGCAGAAGTTCGGCAGCCTCAGGGCCGAAGACATCGAGCAGATGCGGTTCAAACAGAGGCTGAAGGTGATCCAGTCCTTGGAGGACACAGCCAAGAGGAGCGTGGTACGGGGCTGGGGGGCCAGAGGGCCGGGGGCCGGAGGGGCTGCTCCCGCTGCGCTGTCCTCAGGCCTCCGCTCGGGGCGGGCGGGGGCAGAGCTCCCCAGGGCCGCCTCGCAGGGGTGGCTTCGGGTGCAGGCGCCCGTCACAGTTCCTGCTCACCGGCTGGTCACTGGGAAACGCACCTGACACCCCAGTGTCTGCAGGCCAAGTGCCGTCTTGCTCTGCGCTGGGCCCTCCACCCTGGCAGTTCCCCTGCCCCTGGCCGGTGACACTCAGCCACCCGCACCCACCCAGTCCCCTCACCTCTGCTCTAAGCCTTTGCCCCCTCATCCCTGGGGGAGAAGTTACTGAGAAATTCTAGAAGGCCTTGCAAAGAGCCAGTGCCAGGGTCTCCCCAGGGACCAGACAGCAGCCGCTGGACTCCCGCCCCTCACCTGTGTCCCTGACGAGAGTTCAGGACAGAGAGCAGGAGGGAGCATGGATTCAGGGGTGGCAGCCAGGCGTCGAGGGAAGGGAGTGGCCCTCACTCTCTTTCCTGAACGGACTTGGCCAGCAGGCAGCACCGAGAGGGTGGTTCGTGTCCACGTGGGGACTCTCTCAAAGAGCCTCTGGCTTCCCCACGGCAGGAGCTGGAGAATCGGCACTGTGTTCATGTCTCTTTCCTGGCAGGTCCGGGCTATTCCTGGGGACATCGGTTTCTCAGTTGAAGAGCTGGAGGACCTCTACGTGGTGTTTAAGGTGACAGCCCAGGGCCTGGTAGCTCCCACGCCCGCCCCGGCCCCGCAGTGTCCCCACAGTGCTGCCGCCTCCTGCCGGAGGCGACGGAGACTGAAAAGAGCCTTGGAGGCACAGACCTCATGCGGCCAAATTTCATGCTTGGCGTTTAGACAGGACATTCTCTTAAGTGTCAGAAAAGTCCACTCAAGTCAGCTGACACGGAGGAGGGAGCGCACTGGCTCACGTGGCTAAAGCTAGGAACGGACAGCTTCAGGTGTGGCTGGAACCAGGCGCTCAGACACGCTCTCGGGGCCCCCCAGTGGCTGCCCGGCGTTCTCCACGCTGCTCTTCCTGCAGAGCAGCCTGACCAGCAGCAGCCGCTCCGCTCACCCTGGCCTCTCAGCCACCCCTGTGGAGAGAGATTTTTTCCTTTCCAATTGGTTTTAGCTAAAGGCCCCAGGTGTTTTAGCCAAAGGCTGTGATGCAGGAGAGTGTTTGTCCCTGGGCCAGAAAGGCCATATGCCTACCCACCCCACTGCTTGAGGGCAGGACAGAAGGGACTTTGCCAGAAAGTTTCAGGTGCTGTTCACAGAAGGAGGGGAAAGGACCCTGAGGATTGGGCACAGACAGCAAAAGCCACGCTGGTCAGATCTGGTCATTTTCCGTCTGCCCCCCCCCCCCCACAGCTGCCTCTGTTCACCCTCTGAGGTGGCTGCTGTGCTGTGCTGTGGCCACAGGGTCTGAGCCGTCGAGCCCGCTGTGACCTGCCCCAGCCCCCGCGCCTGGGGATGAGGGCTGGTGGTTGGGGGGACGGGGGTTCCTGTGAGGCCGTGCCCAGCCGAGTGCTCCCCCTGCCCCGGCCTCTGGTCCTGGGTGGAGGACGAGGGCGGGCCCCGGGAGAAGCCTGGCCGTGCTGACCGCCATCTCGCTGCTGCCTGCAGGCCAAGCACATGGCCAGTCAGTACTGGGGGAGCAGCCGTCCCGCCGCCGTGCGCCGGGACCCCAGCCTGCCCTACCTGGAGCAGTACCGCATCGACGCCAGCCAGTTCCAGGAACTCTTTGCCAGCTTGACGCCCTGGTCCTGCGGCGCCCACACTCCCGTGCTGGCAGGGCGCCTGTTCCGGCTCCTGGACCAAAACAAGGACTCGCTGATCAACTTCAAGGAATTCGTGACAGGGATAAGTGAGTGGCCTCAGAACCAGTTCCCAATGGGGACACACTGGAGCCCAGTGGGTCCCTTCCTCCCTCAGCCCAGTGCTGCCCACAGTGGGGCTGCGGCCCCAGGGAGGGGGCGGGGGCGGGGGCGGGCTGGGGCTGGGCACCTTCGGGGCCTGTCCCGAGGGAGTGCCCGGGAGAGCCCACCGGCAGGAGGCACGTGCAAATGAGGGCCCGTGTGGGCCTGGGAGCCCGAGGTCCGCGAGCCTCCCTCCCGCCCCTCCTCCTCAGGCGGGATGTACCACGGAGACCTGACAGACAAGCTCAAGATGCTCTACAAGCTGCATCTGCCCCCAGGTGAGAGCCACCCCTGCCCTCTCCACGAGGGGCGCTCACCTGTGCAGAGCTGACCCTGCAGCGTCCAAGGCGCAGGCCTGGGGGCTCCGAGCAGTTGGGGCGCCCCCTGCCCTAGGAGCCAGCGCTCAGGGGCAGCGCAGTCCGGGCTGGCGAGCCCGGCCAGGGACCGGGGGCCGGGCGGCCCTGCTGGGCTAGGGCCTCGGCAGACAGTGCGGGGCAGCGGCTGGAAAACCAGGAGGGTGTCCGAGCAGAGGTGCAAGTTTGGAATGGAGCGCTTTGCGTCCCCCAGCTGGCCCTTGAGTTCCTCAAGGGCTCCAGGTTATCCTTGGAGGGGCTCCCCCTGTGCCACCAGGCCCTTGGGGTCTCCCGGGGAGTCCGGTCTTGTGGGTGTGAGCAGGGAGCTGCGCCACCGGGGCGGCCCTCTGGCCCCAGGCCCCCTGCAGGGGGCGCAGCTGCCTCCAGCGGCTTTTCAAGCACTGGCCCCATGCCCGCCTGCGGGCCCCGCCTGGGCGTGGTCTGCCTGCGCAGCCGGAGCCAGGAAGTCCTGCTCCTCCGGCTCTCGCCTACGGCTGCTTCTCCCAGTGTTGCCACCAGCACGCAGCCGCCTCTCGCCTCCGGGGCGTGGTTGCTGGCCCCCAGCAGTCCTGCGGAGGCAGAGGCCAGCCGCTCTGGGCCGGGCGCCTGCGTTGTCCAGGGCTGCAGCGCCCTGGGGCCCACGCCCTGCCACCCTCCACGCACACCCACTCTGTGCAAGTCAAAAACGCCAAGAGGGCAGCAGGAGCCAGAGGCCACGTGCCACACGGGCGGGCGGGGGTGGCGGGGCACGCACACCGGCGGGGGCGCCAAGCTTTGCCCGAGACTCGGGAGGGGCTTCAGGAGAGTCACCTTGTCCCCTCCGGCCCTCGCCCTCCCTTCTCTGGAGCGCAGCCCTGAGCCCGGAGGAGCCCGAGTCGGCCCTGGAAGCGGCCCGCTACTTCACCGAGGACAGCTCCGCAGAAGGTGAGCGCCGCGGGGCGGGCCGTGGCAGCCATTCCCTGGCTCGCCGGCCCATGTGAGGCCCACGCAGGTGGCTGGCAGCCCTGGCCGGGTGGTAGTTGGAGGGAGAGGCTTCCTCACTGGGGCGGCTGTGGGGAGGGCACCGCGCTCTCTGTGGGCAGGTCCTGGGTGTTCTCACGCATTTCTCTTATCTCCACCTTCCGAACTCTGGCCTCTGCCCTCTGCCCTGCACTCCTCTGCTTTCCCTCCCAGCGTCTCCTCTGGCCTCAGACCTGGACCTGTGCCTGCCCTGGGAGGCTCAAGGTCAGTCCCAGGGCAGGGGCTCCCCTGGGCCCTGGGCTCCCTCCAGACCTTGGGCTCTGCCTTCCTAACAGTCCCTGGCAGGGCCAGGAGGCCTGCGAGCTCTCGGTTCCGGAGACCTCCCCGTGGCTCAGTCCTGGGGAGGACCCAGAGCCACGCCCTCCTGTGGCCTGGGGAGGGGAGGGGCAGCCTCTGTGCTTGTGGGGAGCCGTCAGCGAGGACAGGCCGCAGCAGGCGCTGCGCGGGCGCCAGGGCATGGGCTCCACGGCATGTGCGGAAAGTCCCCTGGTGTCCGGTCGTGGGGAGAGACCCGAGTGCCATCACGGCAGCACAGGCGACGGGGGTGCGGAGGGTGGCGGGCACCGTCCTCGAAAACTTTTTCATGTTCCCCACCCCTTTCCCGTTCGGGGAAAAATACGTTTGTGGAGTGCGCCAGTTAGAAGTCGTCCCTGCGCTGCATTTAAAGCCCTTTGGGCGTGTCAGCCCGGGTGGGGGCACCTGGGCCTGGGGCTTGGCAGTCGAGCTGGTGGGTAGCGTAAGGCTCACTGGACCCACAGACACGCGCCCTGTGGCCCCCAGGGCTGGGGTGGGGGGATGGCACACTCCAAGGGTGATGCACCCAAACAGCGAGTACCAAGACACCCTGGCAGGCAGTCCTGCCAACAGGGCCTGGCCTTGCCTGTGAAGCCTGAGCACCTCGATCTCACGTGTACAAACTCGACAAGCAGGTGAACCTCTGTCACACTCTGAACCCGGATGGATCAGGGACTTTAGGCAGAGGCCAGGGCTGGGGGCGCAGAGCCCTGTCCTTAGACGCCGCACGGTGGCAGGCAGCGGGCCTGCCTTCCACAGCGAGGGGCCGGAGCCCAGAGAGGCGCGCCTGTCCCCACTGCCACGGAGGGCCAGCGCTGGGGCGCACTGCCAGCCAGAGGTCCCTGCCGGCCACGCCGCATCCAGATCGGGCCTGGGGGAATGCGGCACAGGAGGTCGAGCCCAGGGTCCCGGCCGTCCTTCCCCATAAGCCAGAACCGTGAGGAGGGCCCAGTGGAGCCTGCTGAGCCTCCGCTCCTCACGTGACAGGGAGCACGGCAGTGGGGAGCGGCGGAAGCGGGGCCGCCGCCCCCTGAGTCTGCGACCTGTGCTAAGGCGTCCCAGACGGAGGGGGCGCGTGTCCTGTGCGTGACTCTAAGCCACATGACCTCAGCATGTTCGTGCAGAAAGGTCAGGAAGCGGTCACCCAGGACAGGAAGCTGCTCCCAAAAGGAGATAAAGAGGGAGCTCCAGTCCATTTTCCAAGCCCTGCACACGCCTTCTGCCTGGAGGCCCTCCGGCCAGCTGCCCCTTACGGGGCGGGAGGAGCCGAGCCCAGCGGCCCCACGGAGAGCAGCCCGCCCCTCCCTGAGCTCACGGTCACCGAGTCCAGGGTCATAGTAGGGGGCACAGTGTGTGCCAACTCCAGCACGTGTGTCACTTTCATACATTTGTTTCTGACTCCTCACTCCAGGATGTTTATTGGTTTTAGAAAGCGGGGGAGAGAGAAACATCACTCAGTCGCCTCGCACACGTGTCCCAGCCAGGGATCGAACCTGCAACCCTTTGGTGCACAATGACGCCCCCACCAGCAGAGCGTCCCGGCCAGGGCCGGTGTGTCACTTCCAGAAATACAGAGGATACAGAGCTACACTGTATTTAAACCCCCTCGGCTGCTGGCCGGGGGGGCGCTTGAATCGCCCATTGGGAACCCCTCAGTTTGACCTTTTTCAGCAGAGACTACAGAAATCAGGTCTTGGGCTTTTTCTCCCAAATGTGCACCATCGCTCACTTAAACGGTGCAAGGGGAGGTTTGCGTTCCCTTGAAAGACAGGAGGGGAGCAAGGGTGGCCCTGGGGTCCGTGTCACCATGCGCAGCAGGAGCACCCCTGAGGCCGACCTGCCGCCGGGGGCCGCGCTCGTCAGCGGCAGAGCACAGACTGGCCCACTCGCAGGCCTCCGTGGTTTGGGGTCTTAACAGGAACGTTCTCTGGGTTCTTTTCTCGGTCGTCCAGAAGCACTACCGCAGGAAGGGCGAGAGGGAGGTGGAAATGAGGACGTCCAAGAAAAAAGAGCAGGTACGTGCAGGCCGGTAGAGAGCCCGCGGCGGGAAAGCCCTCCCCCAGGGAGCTGGCAGACCCGCCTCACTCCGAGCCTCTCCCTGTGGAAAGGGGGGCTGCGAGGGGGCGCCGGCCAGCTGGCCCCGCCCATGTCAGCCCGGCCAAGCCGCCGGCAGCTGCAAGCCCTCCTGGCTGTCGCCACCGCCCTCCCGGGGGCCTGCTCTCGGCCAGGGCCCCCCTCGAGCTGTCCCCTCTCTGCCGCCACGTGGTTCTGTCACCATGGTGAGGAAGACAGGTTGGCTCATCTTTACCAGTGTAGGTCAAACCTACCTCAGCAAGACCCAGGGGAGACCCGTGGGTGTTCTGGTGTGTTCTTTCACTGCCACCCCAAGTGCTGGGTGTTTTATAAAAGGACCCCGTAACCCCCTGCCAGCCACCGCCTAACCTGCTCTTTCCCTGCTGCCACCCCCCAGTCCTTTCTCTTGTTTGAGGGATGGAGATTAATTTTTTTTCTCCCAACTCTCAGAGAAGGGAACCAGCCCTTCTGACTGTCGGCACTACCTTCAGATGTGGGCCAAGGAGAAAGAGGTTCAGAAGGAGAGCATCAAGGACCTTCCCAAGATGAACCAGGTAGGCCCCGCCAGGGCCTCTGGCGCGCCCGTGAGCACACTGGCCGGGCCAGGCTTCCCCCACCCCCGGCGCCACCAGGGCGCGGGCTTCCTCCCGCCTGCGTCTGGAGCCTGGCAGTCAGGTGGCAGTCAGGGACGATTCCAGAAAGACAGCAGGCCAGGTGCTCCAGGGCCTCACGTTTACTCACCGTCCTGAGCCAGAAACGCCCCGGGGAAGGCTGGCCTGCGACAGACAGAGACTGACCCTCCACCTTCGCGGGGCAGCGGCCGCACGGTGCTCCTGCTCCCGCCTGGCCCCCACGGGGGCGCCCTGCCCATGCGGGCTCCGTCCCCCCTGCTGTGTCTAGGTCGGGGCCTGTGTCTTGGTGAAGGGCGCAAGGCCAGGGCCCCAGACGTGTGACCAAAGGCAGTCCTCGAGCCACAGCCCGAGCGCAGCCTGCTCTGCTCGCGGGGCACTCCTGCCCGGGCTGCGGGGCGCCCAGGAGGCCTGCACGTGGGGTTCCAGGACCTGGGACGCGGCCTCCTCGCGCCCCTCCACGGGCCAGGCCGCCTTGCCTTGTCAGCGGCCTCTAAAGAGCTTTGTCAAGTGCAGAGCTGAAGTAGCTTCTGACTAAAGGTACAAAAAGGCTCCAAGTGGCTCCAAAGCACAGTGAAGAAATCCGTGCAGCCCCTGGGTTTGGAAAGTCGTGGAGGAAACGTCCATCTGCGCAGACACAGCAGGCACGGAGACGGGGAGAGGTTCCAGGCTATTCTCTGTGCTAGGAGAAGGGCAGCGGGGGACTCTGTGACCTCGGGGCGTGACGAGGTGCGGGCGTGTGGGCCTGCCCAGCAGGACGGCCCCACCGCAGGCAGAGGGCCGCGCGGGCCGTCGGACCCTCTCTCACCGCCCCCTCCCTGCCCTGTCTCTGTCTTTCCCCTTGAAAGGAACAGTTCATAGAGCTGTGCAAGACGCTGTACAACATGTTCAGTGAAGACCCCATGGAGCAGGACTTGTACCACGCCATCGCCACGGTGGCCAGCCTGCTGCTGCGCATCGGGGAGGTGGGGAAGAGGTTCTCGGCGCAGCCCGGCAGGAAGCCCAGGGACGGCGTCCCCGGCGAGGACCCGCCGCCCGCCCCCGTCTCCACCCAGGACCCTGCTCACGAGCTGCAGCCCCCCGCTGCGGGCGACGCCCCGGCCAGAGCCGGCGGGGAGTCCCAGCTGGGGAAAGCCCCACAGGAGGGCCAGGGGGCAGGCGGCGGGGACGGCGGCGAGGGCCACGGCTCCCCCTCCCAGCGCCTGTCTGACGACGAAACCAAAGACGACCTGTCCATGTCCTCCTACTCGGTGGTCAGCACGGGCTCCCTGCAGTGCGAGGACCTGGCAGACGACACCGTGCTGGTGGGCGGGGAGGCCGGCCGCCCCGCCGCCCCCGCCCGCAGCGGGGGCTCTGTGGATGCCGACTGGAGCGTCTCCTTCGAGCAGACCCTGGCCTCCATCCTCACCGAGCCTGTGCTGGCGGACTTCTTCGAGAAGAAGGTGGACATTGGACTCAAGATCAGGGACCAAAAGAAAGTGGAGAGACAGTTCAGCACCTCCAGCGACCATGGACATGCTGGGGTTTCGGGTTGAAGACCCCACCAGGCGCGGGCTGACCTCGCTCCCCCCTCCCCCCCTCCCTCCCAGTCAGTGTTCTCCCAAAGGACACGCCCTGCCCTTCTCCCCAGAAGCAGTGACTCCTAGAGGGAAAGAGGCTGAGCAGCCACAGGGGCCCAAGCGGAGGCTCCGCACCCCGCCCGCCTGCCTGCGCGCCGGGCCTGCAGAGCGCCAGGGCCCTCCTCGCCGCCCGGCCGGCCCCAGGCTGGGCGCCGGTGCCACAGGCGGGCCACGCGGGCCTCCACCCTCGGGCGCTGCCCTGCCGCTGCCTGAGGCTGGGGGTGGGGGCGCAGGGGTCACCCGCCTGTTGGGCACCGTGGCAGCTCTCCGGGAGCCCCTGAGCCAGAGCTCTGGCCGAGGGACGCTGGGCGCCACATGGGTGTATTCTGAATGCTCCTCCCAGCCCGGCGCCCCGACCGTCACCCTTACGAGCACATCCCTCAGGTCCTGGTCTATCTCCTTGTGTTCATTTCAGTCGGCGAAAAATCACTGTGCTCAATGCCTTAATAAAGCCCTGAAGATCTCAAAAGCACGCTGTGTACCAAGCCTGAGCATGACCCTCAGCCACTGCTTGGGGCTCAGGCCGCCTTCCCGAGGTTCAAGATACAGCCCCCCGCGGGGCGGGGGTTCAGGCCCCCAGGGCGGATGGGGACACAGAGGTGCTGATGCAGGCGGAACAGGGCCAGTGCTGACCTGTGACAGAGCCCCGAGCTCCATGCACCCCCCGGTGTGAGCAGCCTGGGTCTGGGAGCAGGAGATGTGTCCTGCTGGGTCCAGAAGTGGACCGCGGGGCCACAGGCGGCAGGCCGAGTGCGAGGACCCTCTTGCTTTGCACCAGGAGCTGGTCATCGGTGCCCGGTGTCTGGCACGCACAGGGCCGCTCATGCTTCTACTAAAAGATGTATCTCTGCGGCTATTGCTTTTTAAAAATTTAATAGCTTTATTGAGGCATAACTTACCATAAAATTTGCCTGTTTTAATTTACAATTCAATGATTTTTAGCAAATTCACAGAATTGTGTAACCATCACCAGAAAGCAATTTTAGAGGATTTTCACACCCCAGAAAGGCCCCCCCTGTCCCTGTGCAGCCCACCCGTCTGTACCCTCTGCTCTAGGAAACCACTCATCGACTTGCCGTCACTCTAGATTTTATGGCTGGTTTTAAAAATAACAATCTCTATGATTTCACCTTGTTCACAAGTTCTGGGTCACAGTCAATAAAGACAGCAAAACAACCGTTTTCTTTCTTAACCACACAGTCACTGTGCAGGTGGTCCTGGTCCGAAGGGGCGGTGAGAGCTGGGCCCCAGGTCCCCGGGCTGTCGGGGCGTTTCTGGCCACAGCTGCCGCAGCCCGTGCCCCGTGGTGCCCATGGCAAGGAGGGCTCAGCGCCCTCGTGGAGGGCCCTCCCTACATCGCCGTGCTCGTGGGATGGCAGTGAGCGTGCTGCCTTCCCGAAGTTGCACCAGAAAGCACAAGAGACCCAAGTTGCCACCTCGTCCCCAGTCAGGCCCAGGCCCTTACCCAGGGAAATGGCGACGACTCTGCGGCGTTCGTGTGAAGCCACTTGCGACTGGCTACAAAGATGAACTGGGGGAGGGGCTCTGCAGGTCCCTGATCATGGGCCAGCTGCGGTGGGAGCGTGGACACTGAGTCCCGCGGAGCCTGCTCCGGGGTTGTCACGGATCGGGGGGGATAATAAATCATTCCAGACATTTCTCTGCCAGGAGAGGGGGCGGCTCTTCCCTCTAGTGGACAAGGCCCCGAGCCCCTGTGTCCAAAGGCTTTTATTGAAAGGGTTATCAACAGGGCTAGGTAGTAGGAATGTGCAGGTGATCTCATTACAGCAGTATGTTAATGTTTACAGAGAACAGGTGATGTTTTGAAGAAAACAAATGGCAGGAACATACCGATTTACATGGGTCCGAAAGGAGATGAGTGAACATGAGAGTGTAAATACAAGAGCGCCAAAGGGTTTAGGGTCAGAGTCTGTGAATAATGTACATTTCCTTCCCAGCCTGAGCTGGCTATCATAGCTTTTGAGGGAGAAACAAAGCATGCTTCAAGGAATTTACTTCTAAGCCCGATTTCCCCCGGGGAACCGCCAGATCCAGTTTAGGGCTGTCTCCAGTATCGTTTCAAGCCTGAGCCAGGTGAGGGGAGGGCAGAGCAGCTAGGAAATAAGGAGACTTCTTTCAGATAGAATAAGGATCCCAGCCATATCAAAGCTGAGGGGTGAGGGTCTTTTTGCCCTTTCTCCGTGTCTCCCAAGTTTTTCCCTGATGCCCACATGTCAGTGCCTGTCTTAGGTTGCCCCTTCCATCGAGGGGTCTTACCTGTCCTTGACTAACCAGCCATCCTCCAGGGCCAAGCTGGGTGATGTGAGGGAGGCAGGGGCTGTGCCTCTGCCAGGGAGACAGGTTCTGTCACCTCAGTGGCCTGCTTTCCCAAGGCCCCCTTGATTAGTTCCAGCCTTGGGGCCCTCTCGCCTGCCAGCAGGGCTACAGTCCCTGAGACCAGGCGGGACGGTTCCCAACAATGAACAGGAGAACCCGACCACAGCCCAGTGGGGGCTGCAGCACGGGTTTGGACCCTTCCTCAGCCCATGGGTGGAAAAGCACACGGGGCCTGGAGCTGACCTTTGCTCCTTGTACCAGATGAAGACTAGAGTGGACTGATCTTCCATCTCTTTGCTTATGGCAGGAGGTGGCTGAAGGAATTGTAGATTGGTCATTTAAAAAAAAATGGCATTAATCAATCAATGTCACTTCCTTTCTAGTATTTACACAATCTGACCAAATGCTTTTGCCATAAATTTCAAAAGATTCTTACTAGAAAGACTATGTTCTTGCCCATAATTAAGATATATGATTACATAAGAATCCCAGTTTAAAGTCTTAAAATTGATTGTAATCAATTAGAAAGATTTAAATAACTTGAAATTAGGAGTTTTTTTTTTTAATTATTGATTTTAGAGAAAGAGGGAGAGAGGAAAAAAAACCCATGGATTTATACCACTTACTGATGCATCCATTGGCCGATTCTTATTTGCACTCAGACCAGGGACCGAACCCGCAACCTTGGCGTATCAGGATGATGCACCAACCACTGAACCATCCGGCCAGGGCAGGGTAAGTGTTTTATATACCATGTAGAAGTATAAATTTGAGAATACACCAAAGAAAAAGAAATTAAACAGAAGAATATAAAAGAGAAATCTAACCCTTTTATACTGCGAGGGAACGGAAGTTTTCTCTGTTCCCTCTTTGTTTTCCTGGCTGGTCTAATAATTGACATGAGACAAATTAACAGGATAAAATAGCCAAATTAAATTACATATGCACATACAGGGGTTCCATAAGAACATGGGGACCGAGGAAAAATCTGTAGTTGAGGTTTATACACCACCTTGTACTAAGGAGCAAAGGGGGCCAGTAGTGGTTTGGGACTTCAAAGGGGTGAGGGTGGGGGCGGGGCAATTCCCAGGGAGACGGAAGAACAAATGTGTGCTGGCCCACCTTTAACGATGGGCTCGGAGAGGCCTCTGATCCAAGGGGCCTCGCTGGGTGCGTCCCCATCTGAAACACACTGGTTCCTCTCAGACTGCAGTTCTCTGGGATGAGAGCCCCCTTCTTGGAGCAGGTCCTCCATCTAAGTTCTTTTAGACACTTGGAGGGAGGGGCAAATTTTTTTCTGGAGTCTTTCATTTCTTAAGAATAACCAGCTTTGCCCTGGATGGTGCGGCTCAGTGGATTGAGTGCAGGACTGCAAAGCAAAGGGTCACCGGTTGGATTCCCAGTCGGGGCACAGGCCTGGGCTGTGGGCCAGGGCCCCCGTGGGGAGCATGCGAGGGGCAACCACACACTGATGTTTCCCTCTCTTTCTCCCTCCCTTCCCCTCTCTCTAAAACTAAATAAAATAAAATCTTAAATAAATAAACAAACAAAAGCTTTAAAAAATATCCAGCTTAAAAGAATCAGTATCCCAAAGAAACATATTTTGGGGTTGGCAAACTCTGCTCTCCTTCAGTATGATGAAGGAATGTACAAAAACGTACAATAATACTTTCACTTATTTATCATTCAACCCAGAATGCTACTCAAAATGCTTACCAACTAGAAGAGTGTTAAAAACTTTTGCAGCCAAAGCTTCTCTGGAAGAAAGGGCTGACTGAGTCAAATGCTATCCCTTTTGAGCAGGCCCTTTTATTTTTTAATCCTCACCTGAGGACTTCTTTTTTCATTGCTTTAGAGAGAAAGGAAGAAGGAGAGAGCTAGCGAGAAACATCGATGTGAAAGAAACGTCGATGTGAGAGAAACAACGATTGGTCGCCTTCTCAGACCCGCCCCAACTGGGGAGGGACGCAAACCCCGGGAACGTCCCGGACTGGGAATGCAGCCCGCGGCCCTGGGGTCACAGAACACGCCCGACCCAGCGCACCGGCCGGGGGTGGCTGTGTGTGTGTTTTCAATCTGCCCACCAAGTGATACAGCGTACCACACCATTCATCAAGTCATTCTTATGATTTTCAAGAAAAAAATACATGTTTATGAATTTTAAAAGGATTACCTGTTTATTTCAGAAATGAAAAATATAGAGAAGGAGGAAAACAATTTTTCCTAGTCCTTAAGGCTATTACTCAGTATTTTGGTGTTTATTCTTTTCTATATTTATCTTTTTCAAAGTGGAATTCATACCATATCTGAAATTTTTATTCTGCTCTTTTTCATTAAGCATAAAACATTCTTTGCAAATGTCTTCTCTCAGCGACAATAACTCAAAAGTGGAAATAAAGAAAGACGCTCCCAAAAGCGAAGAGGGGCTATTTACCCGGAGTTTGCTATAGAAAAGGAATCAGCCGCCGCCACTCGCAGTCCGGAGACCGCGAACCCCGGCGGCGGCGGAGTGGGAAAGCTGGGAAACCCGGGCACGGCTTCAGGAGCGCGCGGGGCGGCGACGCGGGGGCTGGCCAACTAGAGGCAGGGCGCCTCACGTGGTTGGACGGGGGAGCGTGATTGGCTTCCTCTGGTTTGTCCTGACCTGGGGAGGAGGTGAAAAATAGGGAAACCGGCAGTCATTGTTCAAGGCCTCACAGCCTTGAGTTTGGCTTCGGGCGCTAGGGACAACAAGGCGCGACCCCGTCCGGCCGGGGCGGCCTGGCTCTTGCACCCTCAGAGTGCGGTCTGGGCAGTGGGACTTCCGCGGGCTGCGGGCTGCAGGAGGAACTGGTTTCGTTTACCGCCGCCTCCGTGACTGTGCCTGCTTCCCGGGGTTCTCCGGGCTATGGCTCAACGTTAACGGACCACGTCCGCTCAGTGGTCCTGCAAATTCCAACCTCGGGCCCAGGATGTGGGCGGGGGGAGGCGCCCTCCGGCACCCTCTCCGCGACTGGAAGAAATGGAGGGAATAGTGCGGGCGAAGGCTGGAGCCGCAGCACCGGCTCGAGGCCCTGCCCTCGCGACTGCAACCTCTCCAGTGAGCCCACGAGGAAGCGCTGGCTCAGGGAGAGAAGGGAACTGGTCTCAGATCAGACACTAACAAACCACACACTACGCCCGATCGAGCAGCAAACGAGGACTGCAGTCCAGATGTCGCAAAGCGCGCAGGCGACCGCGCAGACACGCTGGGGGTTAAGTGGGGAGGGGGCTCCTGCAGGGGCGGGGCCACGGCAGGCTGGGTGGCAGGACGCACGCGCGTACGAACGGGGCGGAGGTTGCGGCTAGCCGGGCCGGGGCGCGCGTACCCGGAGCAGCCGCGGCGGGCCGGAGCGCAGGGCGCACGCGCACACGAGGGTGGGCGGCGCGGGCGGGGCGAGCGACGTCTAAGCTCCTGCCCGGAGCGGAACCCGGGAGGGCGCGGGAATTGAGCGCAGGCCTACCGGCGAGTGCGCTCGCCCGTGAAGCTGGGACGGAGGCCACCACGGAGCCTCCTCCGCAGACTCGGGTCCTGCGGTGCTGCTGCCGCCGCGTCTTCCAGGTGCACCAGGTGGGGCGGGCATCAGCCTTCCCTCCTGGCTCGGGGACTGGACCTCCTACCCGCGCCCTGCCCAGGCCCCTCCACCGGACGTGGGCGCCGCCTCGTGCGGTCGCGGGGTGTACCTACGGCCCGGGCAGATGACGATGACGATCTTGAGGACTGGGGCTTTTTGATGTCGCTTCTCCATGACGCCGCGCCAGGCTTTTTCGTGTTTTGCTTGGTTATTGTAAGATTCATAGAAACCAGGGATGATGGTTTCTGCGGAGGCG